CAAAGTGGTGGGAACCGTTTACCTAACGCCCGACGTGCTCACACAGCAGAGACATACGTTTTCTACCATGATGAACCTCAATGTTGGCGGTAATACTATTAATGTGCCTGGCCATACCGCTAATGACTCCCTCGGCGTGGCTGCTGCTACTATTGCCAACAACAACAACTCGGTTCGTCTTTCCATTTACGACGCGACCAATCTCCCTATTGGCAAGCTTCTCTTGACCGTGGATCTCAAGGAGTACTTAATACCTAATCCTTCTTATTTCAAGCCTTTGGAACACATGCTTAAAAACTGTCCCATGAAGGAGCTCATTGAATTCTGCAACAACGCAGTGCTGACTTCTGAATTTGAAAATGTCAGTTTCATCTTACTCGATATTTTCCAGAGCTTGGGGATCGAAGATAGATGGTTTAAGACGCTCGTGGAGGCAGAACTAGTTGACGTTGACAAGATGACGCGAAAGAACTACGCCAGCAAAGGCAATGGCAATTCGACGTCTAGTAACAATGTCTTCAACACATTGTTCCGTGGCTCGTCCATTTTCACAAAGTCGTTGGAGAAGTACATCTTCAGAATCGGCCAAGAGTACTTGGAAAAGGTGTTTGGAGATTTGTTTGAGAAGATCACCATGGAGCTGCTTAATTGTGAGATTGACCCCCGCTATGTGAGACAGCAAGAGGCAGCGAAGAGAAAGAGGGCCAAGCATGGTGCAAACTACAACAATACTTCTGATTCCGAAGACGACAGTGACGATGATGTTGATGCTGAGACCGAGAAAAAGAGAGAAGAGCAGGTCAAAGAAATCATCGACAAAAACTACAAGGCGCTCACGAACTACGCTGAGCAGTTGTGGTACAGAATCTACAGTACCTCCAACGATCTTCCAGAACAAATCAAACTTCAGCTCAAGAACTTCAGAACAAAGGTTGATTTCGCGTGTGACCCTGAAGATAAAACCACTGCTCTTAACTGCTTGAGTGCTTTCATATTCCTCCGGTTCTTCTGTCCTGCCATTCTCAACCCTAAACTCTTCTACTTGACAAAGAATCACCAAACTGGCAATGCCCAGCGTACGTTGACGCTTATTGCCAAGATCTTGTTGAACCTTGCCAACAGACAAGAGTTTAGCCAGCACAAGGAGCCTCACTTGGTTCGTATGAACAAGTTCCTTCGGAAGCACCAGGATGAAATGTATGACTACTTTGACAAGATCACGGGCAGAAAGAATGATTTCAATGAGAAGATTCTCGACTTGAGTCACGAGGTCAACCGGTTTGATCTTGGACTTGGTGGCGATGCTTCTTCCAGTGAACTTCCAACCACGCCTTACTTGATTGATAAGTACTTGAGATTGACTGAGCTTATCCACCTTCTCAAGTTGAGCGGTCACAGCAGGTCGCAGTCACAGAAGCTTTCTTCGACGTCCACGAGCTCCATCACGACCATGCTTTCAAGCCTGACAGTCGCCAGAAGCAACACAAACACCCCGGCTCAAAACATAGCTGCCAGGCTGCCGTTCAAGGATAACTTGGCTCCACAAAATGACGAGATTCTCATGGACGGAGACAGAAACACTTACCAGATTGGCTCGCTTGAGTTTGAAAAATCCGAATTTCTTGATTTGGCAGGAGACAACGAGACGGAGGGCTTCATCAAGTCGTTGTGCCGTAGTAACGAGGAAATCTTCTCGTTCATCACGTCCAATATCTCGCTCAAGGATCTTCAGAAACAGAGCACAGACCTCATCAACCGAATTGATGAGCTCTCGCACAGACTCGAAGAGCCCGAGATCTGCGAGAACCTCCAACACGATCCCAAGCTCTGGGAAGCCTATGTTGATAAAGTGGTGGACACTGCCATTATCGATGTGGCTAAGAGCAGCGTTGTATTTTACGATGAGAACTTCCAGGGCGCCATGGTTCCAGGCCAGAAGCGTATCCGTGATAACGGTATCACGGCATTGAAGCTCAAGTTCCCAGTGGAGATGGAGCGGACGCTGATGAGCGAGAGTTTCAGCTCGAACTCGTTGGGCAGTCTTCTCCGGACCCCATCCAAGAACCCGTTCAAGCGGTGGTTGAAAAAAGAGTAGTCGGCGGCGCCGAGTATGAATGTAACACTACAGACTGATGGCTATACTAATATTGATGATATGAAGGATGCAAGCGTGTAGAGGTTGCAGGGTTTGGGCTGAGAAAGTCTAAAGGTTAATTCTTGTGAAAGTGGTGTTTTGGTTTCCCCTTACGAGATTCCGTGCCAGGAGAATCCTGAAAGCAAAACACAAAACCAATCAGTGGCTCGTAAAACAGCAACAACCGAAAGTTCCGTGCATTTGGTGATGACCACTTAACAAAGAGTGGGTGAGGTGAAGAGCATTGTCTGGTGCACAGAAGCCCATGTTGTGGATAGTGCCCGAAGAAGAAGGTGTAGACGGGTGGTTTTGAAGAAAGTGACCAGATTGAAGAATTCGAAAGAGGAAGGTTGAAAGAAGGTTGAAAATGTTTCTTTGGCACCCAAGCACATGCTTAGGCTTGCATAGCCTCTTTTTCAAACCGGCCTGGGCTCAAAATTAGGAGATTTTGGGCTATGATGTTGGTATCAGCAGATTGACGGTTTCATTATCGTGATACTAGGGAAAAACTCAGAAGTCACCTTATCGTGGTTTGCCACAGGCCACTGCAACGTTCCATTTGCAGCCATTCGATGAGCTGCCGTTTATGCGTTTACAAGTAACCTACAAACCACCCCTTGACACTGAAAAATCCACAATTCGTAAACCCATCGTAATAACCTGGAGATGTAAACAAGCGTAATCAAAAAAGCCTTCGCCTCCGCTGCCCAAGCATTCCGGATCCTACCTCGTTGCTCATTCATTGTTCCTATACGAGCATCACAACATCCACCAAAACAACCGAAAACCTCCAAAACCTAAAACCCCCCCCCCCAAAACCTCCAAAACCCAAAACCAAAAGACCGTTTTCCGCCTTCCTCCCCCTTTCCAACCTCCACCATGTGTCCCAGCACCGCGGCTAAACCCCAAAACGTCACTTCCCCTGGAAAGTTGCTTCCAGAAGCCACACAGCAAGCAACACGGTTTTTCAAGAAAAGTGCGTAATTTCGAAAAAACCAGCAAAACGCAGATGTAGCGCCGTTTTCACAGTGTGATCAGCGGCAGATTGCTCATGGATTGCAGCCTTCGGATGCCACGGAAGAACGGTTGCAAATGCGCCGCGATAGGGAACCCCCGAGAAGAAAACCTGAAAGTTCAAAATATCCAAAATATCCAAATTCAATCAAACCCACTATTCATCCTCTAAACGCCTCCATTAAAAAAAAAAAAAGAAAAAACCCCCGGGCCAGAAACGGAACAGCCCAGATCGTGGCCATCGGTCGATGCAGTCCCGCGTGGGTATCAACACCGTTTGTCTTTTTTCCTAAACCACCACCATGGCGACAGAAGCAGAGATATTGGCGTCGTACCCGCAAGTCAACGCCCCCACCCTGCAGACAGGTTACACCTCCAACTTGACGGAGGAACAGAAGGAGATCTTGGCCCAGTTGAGACAGGAGCTTGTTGCTGAAGGGTTCGAGTACCGTCTTGACGATGCGTCGCTTCTTCGTTTCTTGAGAGCCAGAAAGTTCAACTTGGCCAAGGCGAAGTTCATGTTTGTCGAGTGTGAAAAGTGGAGAAAGGAGTTTGGCGTCAACACCATCCTCAAGGACTTCCACTACACGGAAAAGCCCCTCGTGGCCAAGATGTACCCGCAGTACTACCACAAGACCGATAAAGACGGCCGTCCGGTTTACTTTGAGGAGTTGGGCAAGGTCTACCTTCCCGACATGTTGAAGGTGACCACCCAGGAGAGAATGTTGAAGAACTTGACCTGGGAGTACGAGCTGTTCACCCAGTACAGATTGCCTGCTTGTTCGAGAAAACAGGGCTACTTGGTCGAGACCTCGTGTACCATCATGGACCTCAAGGGCATCAGCATGAGCGCCGCCTACCAGGTGATTGGCTACGTCAAGGAGGCCTCCAAGATCGGCCAGGACTACTACCCGGAGAGAATGGGCAAGTTCTACTGCATCAACGCCCCCTTTGGCTTTTCCACCTTGTTCAAGTTGTTCAAGCCCTTCTTGGACCCTGTCACCGTGTCGAAAATCCACATTTTGAGCACGTCCTATCAGAAGGAGTTGCTCAAGCAGATTCCACCGCAAAACTTGCCCAAGAAGTACGGTGGAAGCAGCGACGTGAGTGATCAGGACTTGGCCTTGAACGACTACGGTCCCTGGAGAGACCCCCAGTACATCGGCCCGAGGGCGAGGCGCCCCGTGCTTTCGAGTGATTTATTTGATAGAGCTGCTGCCGTTGCATGAGGTTGTCATCTGGGAACCGTGATAGAGAGACGGAGCAAGCTTCGTGTGAACGCCGTGGCGCCCCGCGGGATTAGAGTTCAATAAAACGCTATTTATATGAGTGTAGCTGGCGTTTTGGTAGATGCCACTTTTGTCGTAGATTGTCGTTTGATGAGGGCATTGTTTCACACAATGGGGTGTCACATTGTCGTGAGACATCAACAAACAAGTCCGACTGGTCCAGAGGTTGACTAATTTTTGGACGACTATAAACAGGGTCCCTAGGAGTGTGGTTCTGGACTTTTCCTTCACAATGCCATTGTAGCTACCTCGTACTTCTCATACCTATGGTAATAATCTGTAATACTTGGTAGACTTTATGCATTTCTTTTGACGGGGTTTTTTTCACGGGATGCACTATACACTTGGGCTTCGGTCCCAAGGAAGAAACGGTTGCAACTTGTAGTGCTTTATAGATGATGTAACAGCCTGCCTCACGTTGACAAAGCCCTTTGCTGCATGCTTCACTGCGTAGCATAACGCAGGGGCCTGCGATGCAATTATAGCGTTTTGGGTTGCAGATGGTGATGCACGGTTGATGAGACACCATGTAACGGTGATGATGTAAGTAGGATCCAGCCTGGCTACTCCTCCTCGGGCCACCATTCGGGTATATGCGCTGTGGCGTCTAGAGCCTTGGAAATGCCAGGAACCAGAACCTTGAGGCGTCCGTCCTTTTTGAGCTTGTCAATGTTGACCAATGCGAAACCCATTTTGCCTCGAACTGAGAGAAGTTTTCCAACCTTGCTGCGTCTGGGAGCAGGAGCTTTTCCTGAGCTGCCGAATGGAGAGCTGGACTGGGTGTTGGACTTGTCGAATGGCGAGCTGGACTTCTCAAATGGTGACTTGGAATTATCAAAAGGCGAAGGTGCCGCTGTTTTTGGTTCTTCAGCTGCAACTGGTTCAAGCGACACTTCCGTGACGTCAGCTTCACTGAGTTTCGCCAAATCGCCCTCATCAGCCGTGAACGTAAGCGGAACCACACGCTTTCTGATAACTCCTCCGTTGAACGTTCTGATGGTGAGCTCCTGTCCCACGTAACAGCCCTTTTCAAGACTCAAGCCGTTGATGTAATCCAAATTGCACTCGAATGGCAAAAGCGACATGCCCTTGGGGGCATCGGCGGTCTCAAAAAGCCCATTAGTATACCTCCTATCGGTGATTTGGCGAGGCAGCACTTCCTTAACCTCGAAAAGCTGCTTGAAGGAGTCCGAGAAAATGTCCGCTGGATCTTGAGCCTCCTCGGTCGTTAGCACCTTGAGCCCAAAATCGGGTATTCTGTTGTCGATGGCAAATCCAGTCACGTTGGGTGCAAATGCCTTGTTGAATATGAGCTCTTCCTCAACGACCTTATTGGCATTTTCCAAAGCACCTTCTGGGTCGCCTGTCGTCAAGTACTGTCCCTGGAAGTCCTCTAGCCACTCCTCAAACTCGGGCGTCTCGTTGTAGTAGTAATATGAGAAGATCTCCTTGATTGGCTCGATCTTGACTCTTGCACTGAGCTTGTGCATGCGTAGAAGCGTCTGTAGCGCAGAAACATACATTGGATCAATCTCAATCAAAAAATTGGGTTCCTCTATGCTTTTTTTGAATGCATCAGTGAGTGTGTGGTACGGATTAGCATAGACAAAGCAGTCATTCACGACTCTGCCTTTGGAATTGAGAAACATCGACAGCACACCGTCTCGGCGTACAAAAATATTGCAATCCGGATCGTAGATATCCTCATGCATGAGTCCCCAGTTCTTTTCAGGGTTTATAACCTCCTGAAGCTCTAAGTGCCTGTTTTCATTGTCACTGATAGTATGCTGCTTTTTCTTCACCACATTGGGCAAAAGCCTGGTCGTGATGAGTCCATTAAGAAACTTCGATGCGTCTACTCCTCGGATTTGTATTATAGACCTCGGAATTCGGGCAATCCCGCTCCACGACATGGTAAGAAATTAGTGCTTTAGCTTACTCAGATGGAGGTCTCGGATATAGGGCGCTGTGTACAGGAAAATCAATACTTACTAGAATACTATATTCAATAAATATTAGAACTTCAGCATCGGCACCTCGCGGCCGATCTGGTTCTTCTTTCTGCTCTGCGGCTGCTGCTGCTGCTGCTGCGGCCATTCGCTCTGGTTCATTACCTCGTCGAGGCTGGGTGACAGAATGTCTGGCTGCAAACGATCGCGGATTTGGTCATTCAACGAGATCTTTTGCTTGAGATCAGGCTGTTGAGGCAATTGCATGCCTTGAGATGGCAACTGGAGGCCTTTTTGCTTTCCCATCTGGTACAAATCGCCACTGGAGTGAACACGCGACCCTGTTCTGGAGGTCATACTCGAGGTGTTAGTACTCAAGAAAGACTCATCACGTACAAGCTCGTCCCGTCTGATATCGACCTCACCAACATCGAAGTAGCCGTAACCACCAAGGTAGTTGAACTCGTCGTCCTTGTTATCGTCAGAATTGCTGCTTGACTCCTGGATCACAGGAGGAACCTCCCTCAACGGGCTTTCTGGACGCTTGAACAGAGCTGTCGAGTCCAACCTGAGATCGATAGGGTGCCTAGTCAGGTACAAGTCCTTGTTGACGTTCTTCAACTCCTTCTCAATACGAAGGCGCTTGAGCTCGTACCTTCTTGTTTCAGAGTCGGCCATTTCTTCTAAAATATCGGCCTCTCCACGAAGAATGTTCTTCACCTCCTTCATCACCGAGCGGAAGGTGCTCAAAAAGCGCTCCGTCTGGCGGAACTTCGATGACACAGTCACCACAACCTTATCCTTGTGGATGATATAACCAATTCCAAAGCCTTGGTCAATAGCTGGCGAAATGCCGAAGAGATGCAAAGCAGGGTTACCACAATTACTGATCAAGAGCTCTGCACCTGTGAGTCTTTCAATAGACTCATTGGACAAGAAAGGGATGTACTCATCCGCCATCACTTCCACTGGTGGAATGGGCTCCAAACCTTCCACATCCTTGTTGAGACTGTTCAAACTTTCCACTGCACTAGGCTTCTTCAAAACTTGAAGCAAAGCGCCAATGTGTCTTTCGAAACCTTGTCCAAGCATAGCATCACGATAATGCTTTGTGTGGTCAATGGCACAAGCCTTAAACGACAGCCACTTCTTCTCGTTGTCAGCAGAGGTAATAAATAATTTAGCGAGGTTGTTGATGGGCTCGTTTTGCACAGCCACCAAGTCTGTTCTAGCATCACGGAATTTTCTCGTGGTGATAGGTTCCAAAGTATTGGCAACTCTACCATACAAAGCATAGTGAGCAACTTGGAAACCGATTTGCAAGAATGAATCCGCCAGCAAGCCTGATTTCGTCAAAAGATGACTATCGAGCTTCATTGTGAGACTCTTGTACTCGTGCTGGTTCAAAAGATCAGCAAGACGAGTCTCAGAAAGGTGGATCAAGTGTTGGAGCTCTGGAGTCATTGTGAAACGAAGCTCCATAGCGTTAGGCTTATGATCGCTCACCTTACCAGACACGAATTGCACGGATTCGTCAAAGAGGGTATTTTCAGCACCATTGATGTTTCTTGCGAGCTTCAAAATCGAATCGGTGTAAATGTCACTGATGAAACGCAAAATGGCCGTACTGTCCATCAGCGAGGACTCCCAAACAACGCCTGCGACTGCATTGGAAGTCACCACCATCTGAAGTTTATCGTACCATCTAGAAGTACACGAACCGATCTGAATATTGGTGCCCTCCAACAAACGAGATGTTCCGTGAGAGATGACCTGGGTCTTTTCCTGGTCGGTCTTTGGAGCACTGGTGGTATCCAACACAACCACAAAAAGAGCATTATCAACCGCTTCAAGGTAATTAGGATCGATCTTCTTCAACTCCACTCTGGCCTGTTTCCAGTAGCCGTATGTCTGAGTCGTGATAGCGCCAATTCCGTTATTCACAGCGGTGATCTGGTCCACCAGCGAGGACTGGTTGATGATCTCCTGAACGATCGGAGCCAATTCGGCATCATTGAACCAGATCTGATGCTTTGGGTTCTTGTTGACATCTTCACAAGGAGTAAGCACCTCTAGGGTATAGTACTGGTTGTTGCAGATGAAAAGCACGTGGCGGGAATCGTTGAAGTGCTTATACTTGGCAATCGTAATGTGGTGGTATTCTTGCAGCTCATCAGGCACTCTGGTCGTGCCGAACAAGTTCATATAACACTTCATCGTAAGTGGAGTGCCCAGTTTAGGGGTCACATCGGGCTTCAAGGTGCCATTTCTCAAACTCACAATGAACTTTAGCGTGGAGTTCACCAATGAAGCCGTACGTTGTGCCTGGTTAGGTGGATTGATGGTCTGGGCGTACGGATCCTCTTCTAATACTAAAAACGGGTTTCTTGGGAGAATATCGCCGTTCAAGTCACCGTAGATTCCCGGGTAGCTCTCGCCATTGACGGCGTTCAAGTAACACGTGACGTTTGGGTTCTTGGCAGCTTCCTCCAAGTGTCTTTGGATCAACAGCACCGTTTTGTTGGTGATCACTTGCGATGCTTCGTTCAAGATTTCCGAGTATTCCTCGGCAGGAAGAAGGGGCTTCAACGCCGCCAATATCAGGTGAGTGGATTGCGCCAACAGCGGCACGGGAAGGCGAGGAAGCTCCTCCTCGTATTCGAAAAGGGAGTACTTCATTAGTGGAAGAAAAAGAGGAATCGATGATGCTTAAGTACCCCAGAATCTGTGGGGCAGGTGGGGCGTCTGTGTGCAGTCCGTGGGACCTATCGCCGGCCGTTCCACCGAGATATGTTCTTATGGGGTGAAGAATTTCACTGGATTTGGAGATGTCGATCCAAGTTTTATGAGAATTGATATTGGTTTTTGCTCGGTTCGATATCGTGACTTCCTCGGGCCGAGGGCTGGCAGGGTCCTCGGAGTGCGGCCAATGAAAGTCCGGGTTTAGTCAGATTGCATTTTGTGAAAGATGGAGGATTGGTGGAAATGATGAATTTTTTGGATATTGGGAGATAAGAAAATGATATTGTTCTAGGAGGTTTCTCAGTGAACCCTACAATGCAAAGGCTTCACTTGTTACTTTTCATTTTAGCTGCATAGTAGTAATGCACTTAATAGCTCTACACATTCATGGATCAAACTCTATAAAACAGGAAACTTAGATAGAATGCATGGCCACTCTATACTCAATGATTCAGTAACTGTATTCGTATTTTTAAAAGTATGTAGTTTATTTGTATTCCTCTCACCTAATACTCAGCTACACTGTACCAGGTAACCCTATGGTTACACCTCCATCAATATCGACAATCTAGATCAGCATTTAGTGTAGCATTTCTTTTGGTTGCTATATTATTCTCAACTTTCGATTTAGAATTTGTGCTTTTTGTTTGTCAAATTGTGTCGGTGTCTGTCGCAAACGCTGCATGGTCTTGACAAGAGGGCACAAAGAGGGGTGGTTTCTTGGAAGTCATCAACGGTACAAGGTGAATTGGAGTGTTGGGGGAGTGCTTCAATTGATGGAATTCAGTGAGTTTCAAATCTGAAATGGAATTGCTCGTTTTCGATGTATATGATGGTATTCCAGGGAACGGGAAAGTGCACTTTGATTCCTGATGCACCAAGTGCTATTTATTTGAACTCCCATGGATGTGGCTTCTTAATGAACATCGATCTTGATTCTGTCCGGTTGCCGAAAACCAGTGCCATTTTCCATTAAAATAAGGAATTTGATTCGTTGTACATCATTTTCCAACTGTGTTCAAACGATTATTCAATTGAACCGGAAGTTCGGCTTGCCGAAACATCCACCATCCGGGACCTCCAATTAACCTTCAGGGGTGATTTTCCTCACCGTAAAATCCCACAGAGATCTACTAGTCATGCCTGGTTTCTGCCGGGTCAGGAAACAGCAGTTTCGGAATGCAGTGCAAGATTATGGTTTGGGTAGCGACGGCGGCTAATTCAGAAATGCAGCTGCAAAGATCTGCTTATGCCTTTATCAGAAGTGGATATATGCATTAGGCAAACTCTCTCAAATTGTTGAGAGGTAAATCAGCAACGGGCTGCATTCACTTTATTCAGAATGATTTCTAATTTTTTAATATTTCTCAAAATTAGTTCCCCGAAATCCCCATTAACCACCGGCCCGTGCCTCGGGACAATTACACTAAATACGAGGCGGCGGGTCACATACGTCGAGCTTTCTGCATCTCCCTGTTGCCTAAGCCAACCAAGCCGTAAAAAATCAGAAATATTTCGAAAATTCACGAAATGCATGGTCCTTCAATGACAACAAATGGCTCCTCCGTATCCACAAAAACACCCCTGCTTTCGTATCTGTCACTTTGCATTTTGGTTTTCTTTGTCCCCAACCAACACTCTGAAACCAGCACAATCTCGTATCTCGTTTCAATGCATCTTCTCTCTTAAAATTGTAAGAGTAGACAAACTATTGTTGCAACGCCCCCTAATAAACTTCACATAAGCCTGTTCAGCAAGATGCCATTGTTTAAGCTTTTCATGCCCCCTAGGATTGTGAAAATTGGCTTTTGCGGCCACCTCCGCAGAATGGCTTCTGGAACACCATTCTTTTAATAAACCGGCTCTTGAAGCTGGATAGGGGCCAGGATACGAGGACTTTTGAGCCTCGATCGGGCTGAATTTTCAGAGTCAAAGGCCCAATCGGAGATGTCCCATTACTGTGCATCGAGAATCGGAGAAAAAGTCACCACTTTTAGACGATGGCTTTTGTGGAATCCATGGGAGCCGAAGATCACTGCTGGATTCGGCAACCCGTAGATTCTAGAATCGCCCTAAGTCAACCCTCATTTTGTAGATTCTACTATCAACGCAGTTTTTGAAAATCATCAGCATGATGCATCCGGTTATGTATTGAGAGACCCTCCGGCAGGGATCTGGATCCAGACAGCCTTGGAGAACCTGCTCCTGGCTGGCCGGAAGATATGTGTGGTGCACGGGCGTGCTGCTGTAGCTGCTGTAGCTGCTGTGTGGGAGGTACGGGTTTCCTTGGGGAAGCGTCAGTCCTGCAAGTGTGCAAGGGGGCTGAGCAGCAGCTTCTGTCAAGTACGGGGCTTGCAGAGGGCTCGATCTTCGGCAAAGGAGGTGCGATCGGCAGTGAAAGATATATTTTTCGCTTTGCATTTTTCCATGGGCTCTGAGCCTCGTATCCAGTGGGTCGAGACATTGCGGAAAAGACAACGGCAATTGTCAATGGGCATTCATGTGTCGGCCAGGAATGCCGCACAAAGGGGCAGGGAGGCGTCCACCTGCGGTGCACATGCGGTGCGCCTGCATGCGCGCCAGGAACCAATGAGAATGGACTTTGCTCTGGACAATGCCGCGCGGATAATGCGATCGGCGATGCGTCAATAAGATGAAGGTCTCGCTTGTTACGTCAACAAAGTCGCACATTGTCCAGGGCAGCGTCATGGGGGGGGGGGGGACAAACAAGCTTCGGAGGGACCTAATGAAAATAAGCTGACGATCGAAAGAAGCATGGATGCTTTGCTTTTCTCGAAGAGAGGCGTCGATCGTCGAGAAAGCCGTCTTGTGGTCCTATGCCTTTGTCCCTGCACACAACTCATCGCAAAATTATGGCTTATCGTTTTCCCCAGCCCACCAAAAACCAACCTTTCACACCCGCTACTCGTCTAAAACACCTGAAGCAACCAGCGTATATGGCACTATTTGCTCGAGGGTAAAAAGGGGAGAACTCCAGGCAAATCAGTCACGCTAATAGTGAGTTCCTACAAGTTCTTTTTTCGTCGTCAGTTCGTCAATCATCACAAGCGCTTTTTCCTCACTGCTGGCGAAGCGGCGGGAGCGCAATCGAATGCTGAAAGTACAGCGGGTGTTCGGCTTGTAAACGGCCCAGTTCCACATCCTTGGCCTCGTCCATCAACGGCTTGATACAGAGCCAGCCTGTTTCAGTCCGGAAATGGCGAGCCAAGGCATCCAGACGTGCAAACGTTTTTCCACACCCCCATTTCGTAGTGCCGTCCTTAAGGAAACCCTCACACTTGAAGTTCTTGACGCCTTGGTGGAGATGCTCGTGGCGCTTGCGGTCGTGGGAACGGGCAAACAGCTTGGGGCACATCAGGCACTTGTAAGGTCTCTCGGTGGAATGGGTCTTCATGTGCAGCTTGAGGTTGTATGGCTTGGGGAAGGTCTTGCCACAAGTCTGGCACGTATGCTTGGCCAATCCGGAATCTGTGCCCACCATCTTGTAGTCCAGGCGTCTGCGGCGCCGGCTGGCTGGCGACACCGTGTAGCTGACAAGCGAGTTGTAGTTGATTCCTGTTCCGGGAACCTTGAGCAGCTCGTCGCTATCTCTTCTGTGGGCCTCGCCGCTCATCAGACTCGGACTAAGCGGGTATCCGTGGCCGGGGGAAGATGCTGGGGCTCCCTGAGGGGCATTGGCCAAAGGCAGGTACCTTGAGGTCATGACGGGTTGCACGAGAATGGCGTTTTGTGGCTGCTGGTAGTTTTGTTGATATGGCTGGGCCACGGGCTGGGCCATGCCCAGAAGGTTCATTTGAGGCACCGAGGGCACTTGCAACAGAAATGCTGGGGCGAAAGCTTGGGGTCATTGGACGAAGGAGTGTCTAGTTGTTGTGAAGGCTGGGGGGTATTGCTAGTGTGAATCTGAGGCAACGCCATGGGCCGCAGCAGCTGTCTGTTTTGTTGTTGTTGTTGTTGATTGTTTTGGTTATTTTGAATCTGGTAGTAGTCCACCAACTGAGACATTCTCTGGGGCATCTGCTGGGGTACTTGCTGGGGCACCTGTTGATTATAGTAGCCTGGGCTTTGTTGGAATTGGGAGTTGTCAACGACGGAGGGACCCATTTGTTGGAACGGCCTGGAGGCGTAATCTTGCTGATAATAGACAGGGTAGGACATGTGGTAGTTACTGAGAGGCTACCTTGTAAATGATCAAAAAGTTGTACACAATGAAAAGCGGCGGGAATGGTGGATTTATATAGTGGAGACGGCGTAAGCGACACCTTATTTGGTGTTGGGGGAGGCTGCACGTCAAAATAAGAGAGCGGTGCGCGAGCTGCTGCATGTCCTGCGCCGCTCCTGCAGTACGCACTGCAGGTGTGCATATCGAAGTATTGTCTTTCGGCATTTGCAGCAGGCCCGCGACGGCTAAAAGCCAGGGGCAAGGATGGGGCTTAGTCAAGGCTGTGCTGACCACACAGCTGAGCACTGCACACAGTCGGTGCCACCTGCCACCCACCCTATCACCCACCCACGCACAATCCCATAAGCCCAATGTCGGCGGCAGATGACAGAAGCAGGGCCTTTGTTTATTGGGCTTTGTATGCAGTGCGCACTCCAGGCACGAGGCACGTCAACCAACGGCGGCAAAGCCCCCCTTGTCTGGGATACCCCACCTCGAACCCCACGCCTAAACCCCATGAAATTTGTAGTCTGGGAATCGTCATCCTTCCACTATGGGAAATTCCCACGCTTGCTTCGACGTAACTGCAAGATGGTCCCGCGCAGCAATGTTCCCCTGACTTATCTGCCGTCCGTGACTCCCCTGCAGCACTGCTGTCGAATTATGCGGGAAGCGACGCCCGTGGCGACGTAATAGCAGGCCCACAGCCCCCATGTACCCCTCTACACGGCTGACAGCAGCCCCGGTTCTCAGATCCCCCTCCCACCGGATCTCTAATTCTGGGCTCACCAGCCTCACCAGAGTCAGCCTTGTTTAAAGTGTGAGAAAAATTCGGCGACATTTTCTTTTTTTTGCAATTTTCCAAATTAACAACTCTATCATGGAAAGCACAAGCTGAACGGGCAAAACCCAGCTGCTGGTTATATGTAGAGTGGAATGAGGCGCAGATACACGAAACACGACCGTTTATCCGATAATCCTCGGGGCATTCTCCCGTTGTGTGAATCCACCAAGGTGCACACGCCAAAACTTTCGAAATGATGGCTGTGGAAAAGGCTGTGCTGATTTAGTCCAGCTTAGTGAGGCTGTAACGATAATTCACAAGGCTGGGGCAGGGGCCAAGAAACAGCGCCGTTAACCGTTTACGTCATGATTGGAAAATTGGTGGTTTTCAATGGAAAAGGTCCGGAAAAACCAAAAGGCACTTTTCAGAATTCTCTTCTCGAGTTTTTGCTTCTTCAAAGCGTTAATGCCTTTGCCGCTTTCAACAATTTTCCAAATTCACAGCGAGCAAATATTTAACGCAAGGCCGCCAATTGTGCCGCCAATTTTCACCCATTCGTTTTCAACAGCTCATGTTATTTTTTTTATTGTTTGTCCTCGTCGTTCTCTCTCCACCTTGTAACGAGCGTTTTTAGAAGATCTGGGGAATGTCCAGATTCGAGCCGTCATAGTTTAACCGCTGAACCTCGCCCTGATTCTGTTGCTCTTTTGGGCTAGCCCAATTGAGCGATTCTAGTCTCAATTGTAGTGGCATATTTTCGGGCAATCCGTTCTGCGTTTCGTAAATTTTGGAAGCATCTTACCTCACTCTAGATTTCTAAAAATCACCCAAAACTCCAACCCACTTTTTGTGCTTTCTTTTGATTCTCCCGGCTTAGATTTCTCGCTAGACTGGGGCTGATGATAAGAGGCGCTGCAGAACGTCCTTGAGCAAGAGGGGCCGCTTTCATTGTGGAGTTCTGAAACCCCTGACAAAGATGCCGGTTAAAGCGTGGGTATAAGCAGTATTAACTCCTTTTAGACTTTTCCATCAACCTGGTATCCATCCCTTCTGAAGTTGTAGACAGTCTCCAGTCTCATGGGGAATGACTGTATCTGGGTTAACTCTTGCTACATATTCTTCTTGATCATTTGTGGGATCTAAGCCTCTGGCAGCTGGTCCCCACCAGACAACGAGTCATGACTGGTAGAGGCAGCTACACCGCTTGCGTGTATTGCTTTTTAAAATACCCCTTGGCCTGGCCCTTTCCGTAATGGATGTGCTTGTGGATCATCCCCAGGTGATGAGACTGCCGCTGGCAATCCAGTCAAGCTCAAATTCAGGGGACTCGATACCAAACCGCTTGGCCATGGGCAAAAGGTGCTGGTCGCCGGCAAAATCCTCCACATACTCCACGGTGTTGGACTCCTTGGCTCCGTCGTCCTCCTTCTTCACAACATTAGGCACCGTCCGGGGCAAGTAGTTGATGAAGAAATCGTACAACACCTCGGCGGGAACGGTGTCTGGCAAGCCCTGGGATGTGACGTAGATCCGTTCGAGCTCAGGGCTACGTTTCTTACCCACAAGCACGGCCGTGCTGACCAAAAGCTCCAAGTCCAGGAAGTTGAAGCCGCCCAAGTCGTTGAGGCCGGTGAAGGACGATCTTCTACGTCCAAATTGGTCCTCCACACGTGTAGGGTCGGAGAGCACGCCGAAGGGGTCCACCTTTAATTCGCCCAGACCAACAATAAAGAGCTTGCCGTCCATGATCTGCGACCACAACACATAGTAGCTCTTCTGCTGCAACTCGTTGGTGAGAATGGCGCCCTTGATGTGGCCGTAGTACTCTTCTCCGCCCTGCTTCTTCGTTCTAGGCACATCAGAGGCGTGCTGTTTCCGCAAGTTGGCCTCCTCGGGCTGCAAAAAGAACTTGGGCATGGCCAAATTTTGCACGGACGACTTCTTTTTCACGCCAGACTGCTTGGGCGAGGTTGGGTCGATCTGAGCACCGCCAAACTTCTCTGCTACAGCAGAAAGCTCGTTTTGAGAGCCCAACCGGGTCAGAGAAAGCGCCGTTTGCACGTTCGTGAGCGACGACAGCGACCTGCGCCCGCCAGCCAACTCCAGGTGGAAAAGGGTCTTGTTGAGGTCGGTCAAGAGCTCTAATTCCTTCAGCTGCAAAATCAGCGAGATCAAGTGCACGTCCTGCTGCTTCGAGCCGTCCAAAAGGGTCAATTTTTTGCCTGGGACCGACGCGTCTGTGCCCTTGCCTCCGAGGAGCTTCTTGACGGCCTCGGCAGCCTCACTATCCAAAACAGCCAGGGGCACAATGTAGCCGTCAACAGGGTACGCCTTAAAGCCGAACTTCGAGTACGCCGTCTTGATCGCCGAGTAGAGGTACCAGACGTACTTCTTGCCGAGGTAGTACGTGGCCAACTGCTCGTCCACACGGCCCTCCAGATCCGTGACCATGCTCCTGAAGGACCCCTTTTTGTCCGACAGCTTCTCGAGCTCCTTCTTCAACACCTCCTCCTCGGTGACGGCAATTGCCTTCCGGACGAGCTTCTCCATCAATTTGAGGCCCTGAACTTCGCCAACGTAAACACAAAACTCAATCTGAGCGCTGTAGCTGGACTGACACCAAAAGACGCTGGATCTGGAACACCGATTCCTCCGGCGGCGCCGTCTTTGTAAAAAGCCTTGTGTTGCGTGACCACACACACAGAGGCAATCTCGCCGTCCTTGGATTCTAAGTAAAACGCCTTAGCAGCTCTGCCCTTCAAAATGGCATCCACAAGTTGTTTCGCCTGAAACGTGGCAAAACCTTCTGGATCGGGCTGGCCCCATTCGGAGCCGCACACTAGGAACACCTGGTGGAGGACTTTGGGATCTACTGTTGTTTTCAAACGAAAGTCGCTCATTGTAAAAAAAGTGGTTGTAGTATGAGTAGGTTGATTTCGGTGATGTGTGGAGCAATCCTCGCTGGTGTCAGGGTGCATGACGTATGCAGCCGTGGGGTGCCAAAAACACGTTTGACGACGGATAAAAAAAAAAAAAAAAAAACTCAATGCTGCCCCTGATTGGCTGGATTTTGGATATCGGGAAACACTTGCAATTGCCAGGCGTTTTGGCAGCCAGATCGGTCCCAGACCAGGCCGTAAGCGCCGACCGTTCGGCTATGACGTTTTGAGTTAAGCGCTGGTGCCGAATCGGGGTAAACATGGGAATTCTTTGATTTCAAAGTTTTGATATTCTGGATTTCTGAACCAAGGAAAACTCCCAAATTCGTTATCGTTATCTATCAATCATGAGGCTCGGTTAATGCGGCGTATGGGGCTCATCGCAGGGTCTCGCTAAAGTTATAGATAAGGCTAGATAAAGCGAGATAGGCTTTTCGTTTGGATCAGGGAACAATGGATTTGGGAATTTGTGTGATTTTGGTGGTTTTTGGGTTTCTTCGAAAAATGGCATCAAAGGCTGCCTCAGTTCACCAGTACAGCACTGAACCATCGGAATTGACCATCCCAAGCGAAAACCTCAATTACAAATGGAAAGCTAATCAAGTCAAAGCATGCCAATCGCTATTGGAAGTTTTTTCAGAACCTTCGCTTTATTCTCTCCATTGTGAAGCCTATCTCAAAAGTCTCGTTATTGTGACCTGGGCCTGTCAAGTGTAATTAACGTTGGTTATGAACCAAGGGTCCCCGTTGCTTAGCGACCCTCTAGGCTATTTTGATTCATTCAAATTTTGATAACCCTGAAAAACGTCACTGTTCGAAATATTATCAAGTGGTTCCAAGAATCTCAATTCAACCCAAGGAACCTCCACCCTGCCTGACTCCTTTCGACACCTCCGAAGTCAACAAAAACCCTGTCTATGCCTACCGTGTCCCTAAGCCGACTCTAAACGCTATTTCTGGATCGGCATCCCGAAACCAGCATTACCTCGCTGTCGATAAAGCAGAACCCTGTAGATCCAGATTAACCACACATCGATGCGTGTGCAGCGGGAATGCTGCCACAAAAACGAAAACCATCAATTAAAAATTTATTAGCTCACTCCCTCTTCCATCCTCTTCTTGGCTATCCTTATTCGATACATCCCCTAGGGAGCCTTACACAATGGGTACCACCGGACATACACCCGAGGATCGGCGTGGCATCAACAATGCCCAGGGCGTCCAGATCAAAGCCAAAAGCATAAATCAACAAAATCTGAATGTATGTCTCCATGGCTTTTCGCTGAATAATGGCCTGATCGTGAAGGCTTATCTCTAAGACTATATTCAGCCGTGCACTGATCGCTCCACATTCCGGACATGCTAGATTTATTTTGAAAGTTGCATTTCCTCATTTGTGCTTTCCCAAAGTGTAGATACCTTATCAGAATCGGGACCCTGACCCCACACGAGCCGAGGTTTTGAAAAACTCTAAGATGCCTGGAGGATTCAATGCCAAGACATAGTCAAATTCGCTTTTTCAATTCCGTTTCTGATAAGAGGGAGAGTAGCCAATCAGGGAATAGCATGGAAGAGGATTACCCCAGATTTGTCCTACGATCTGAGAAGTCGGCTTTTGCACTTTTCAATACGGCCTTTTAAAGAAAAGCCCAGGCATTGTGGAAGGCCAAGCCATCAAAATTTTTCCGGTCCCCACTACAATGGGGTTCGGGATTTTTTCTGGTCCGACCCTTGCATGGCGATTTTTTCCATTTCTTGATTTTTGAACTTGATCTTGATTTTGTAGATTTTCAAGATACTCAATTCACAAGAAGCCCCGCGGAAGCCCCACACACACGGTCCGGTTCCGCTGCATCCACCGACCCTCAGCTTCTCCATCTTTTATTTTTTTGCAGCCAAAACGCCGAATGAAACGAACAAAACCCGTACACCACGGCCTGCCACTAGCAAAGGGCCCAATAATTGACTTTTTCTCTTCACCAGTCCCACCCGCTCGGAAGGGCCCGAAATGTGGAGAGGTGGTAGGGCAATTTCCATCGCGGTTTGTCCTGCATGTAGTCTCGAAAAAACCGTTACCGGCTTTTTTCTGGGGCAAATGCCGGCGGCTAAATCGCTCCAGCGTCACGCGATGGCGAGCGATTCTGCGATTCCCGCTAGGTTTTTGAGATAAATGAAGAGTAAATCGCATGCGGCCGTCGAGGGAGCCCAAATTGATTGGCTTCTACCGGAAAAAGTGTTTTTCCGAGTCTCCGCAACCCCGAAAACCCTTCACCCAGCCCAGGCCGGTTCCGCGCCGTAGCCACGGCGTTATGAAAGCAGGGCACCTTTTTTCTTGCTTTTGACGCAGTCTTTCCTTTTTTCTGCGCCAGCCTCTGACTAACGCATCGGACTTTTCTGCAAACCTCTGATTTATAAGACACCCAGATCCAGCAAAATTGGACCTAACTAAAAAAAATACAAAAAACTCAATCACTGCTTTTCAGCTGCCAGCTTGTGGAAATAATTCCCCCACTTCCAATTCTTCCAATCCATAGCTAAATTCCCTTTTTGCACCCATGTCGAAGGAATCCAGCAACGACAACTTGTCGTATGATTCCCAGGATTTCGGCACCAACACGTCGGCTTCTCTGCAAAGAGTGCTGCACTGGCAAAACTTCAAAGATTCTTTCAGAAGAGCTGAAAATGAGGATTCTTCAGACAGCCAGTCCATGGAATCTCTTGAAAAAGCCGTCAAGAAAACCGCCAACACCAAATTGAAATCCTCCATCAACCCCGTGTCCCAGGCTTTTATTGCTCTTGGTGGATGCGTCGGATCGGGTCTTTTGGTTGTTTCCGGCCAGGCTTTGGCTGCCGGTGGCCCTGCTGGTATTCTTATAGGTTGGGCCATTGTGTCTTCTTTCCTTTACTGTGTGATGCAAGCATTGGCTGAACTTTCGTCGACTTTCCCCGTTTCGGGCGCTTTTGCCGTCTACGCCACTCGTTTCGTCGACCCCTCTTTTGGTTTTGCTGCTGGCTGGAACTACGCCATGTTCTGGGTGGTGGTTTTACCGCTTGAGTTGGTTGCCGCATCTTTGGCTATTCAGTTCTGGGATTCCGATATCAACACCGTCGTTTGGGTGGCCATTTTCTACGTTCTCATTTTGGGCCTTAACCTCTTTGGAACCGCCGGTTTCGCTTATACTGAATTGGTCTCCTCCATCCTCAAATTGCTTGGTGTGGTGGGTTTCGACATTTTGGCCATTGTCTTGATCTGTGGTGGCGGCGATACCGGCTACATTGGCGTCAAGTACTGGCACAATCCAGGTGCTTTTGCCCACGGCTTCAAAGGTGTGATTTCTGTGCTTGTCACTGCTACTTACTCCTTGGCAGGTACCGAGTTGGTGGCTCTTACCGCTGCTGAATCGTCCACAAACCCCAGAATCGCTTTGCCCTCCGCCATCAAAATGGTCTTTTACAGAATCCTCATTTTCTACATGTTCACCTTGACGCTTATGGCGTTCTTGGTGCCTTACACTGAGGACAGATTGGTTTCTGGCGACAGCGCTTTTGCTTCTCCCTTCGTCATTGCCATCCAGAACGGAGGCATCACCGCCCTTCCTTCCATTTTCAACGTGGTGGTGATTATTGCCCTTCTTTCCATCGGTAACTCGGCCGTTTACGGTTTCTCCAGAACCATCCTTTCCTTGGCTGAACAGGGCCTTGCTCCTAAGATCTTCACATATGTCGACAGAAACGGCAGACCGCTCGTGGGTTTCTTGACCTCGGCCATTGTCGGTTTGATGGCCTTTGTGGCTGCTTCTCCAAAGCAGGGTGAGGTTTTCGCCTGGTTGGTGGCTCTTTCTGCGCTTTCTACGTTGTTCACCTGGGCTTCGTGTACCTTGGGTCACGTCAGATTCAGAGCTGCCATGAAGCGTCAAGGCAGACCACTCACGGAATTGCCTTACCTTTCTAAAACCGGCGTGTGGGGTTCAGTATACGCTACCATCTGTCTTACGGTGGTTTTGTGTCTCCAGTTCTGGGTTTCTCTTTTCCCATTGGGCGAATCCCCAGATGCCACGGCGTTCTTCAAGAACTATCTTGGTGCCGTCATTGTCCTTTGTTTCTACCTTGGCCACAAGCTCTATAACGGTTTCTGGAAGAAACGCTGGATGTTTGTGGTTCCTTTGGACACAATGGACATTGACACAGGCCGCTGTGAAAGCGACTTTGACAAATTGCAGCAGGAGCTCCAGGAGGAGAAGGCTGCTCTTCGGGCCAAGCCCTGGTACAAGCGGGTGTACCACTTCTTATTCTAAGCATGACTCACGACTAACGATTAGGTGCATCTTATAGACAAAAATTGCATTCGAAACGGATTGTAGGTTTGATTATTAGAAATGTAGTATTAACTGGCTCGGGCAGATTTTCAATCAATTGTGGATCTGTACGGTCCACTATCCCACCTCTTTAGACATCAATCTTCACCACAAGCCCATTTAATGACTATCGACATCCTCTAAGTTTTGATATCCTCTAAGTTTTGATATAGAAATATTTTTAAACTGGCCCCCTTATGTATGCTTCGCTAAGACATCGCCATCAAGATGGGCAAAGCTTATACCTAAGATAGTATCAGCTACCACAAGACAAACACCATTTATAACAAAACCAAGACTAAGCAACCCGTGCTCTGCCAAATGGCCTGTGAAGAATGGCCCAATACAATTGGCAAACGTTTTGGCAATATTCACCGTTCCCATCACCCTGAGAAGGTCTGCTTTAGGAATAATAGCTGTCAAAAGCACCTGCCGGGGCACAACGTCCATTGTTCCTGTGGCACAGAACAAAAAGTAGAAAACGGCTGCCAAAAGGTATGTTTTGCAAAACGTGATGCTGAAGAAAAACACCGCCGAGGGGAGTTGGGCCGCTAAAATTGCTTTAACGGGACCTAGCCAATGGAACGTTACCGCCAGTGCTATAGACGACAAGGAGTCAATCATGTTGGTGAAGAAAAACAAGGTTCCCAAAGCCAGGGCCGCTGGATGAAAGGTTTTCTTGAAGTAGAAGACAATCCACGCTGGAGGCATGAAACCGTATCCCAAGGAATCGAGCATGAACACCACAAGAAGCCGAGGAAGTATGCGTTTTGTTTGAGGGCTGAAGCCGCTGCCGGTGGCGTTTTCAGCGCCATTTTCAAGAAGCTGCTCAGTCTCCAGATCCGTCACTTCGGCGCCTGTGTCGTCACCTAGGTACTCATGAAGTTCACAGTTTTTACTGAGACAAACCGCCAAAACTAGCTTGGCAAGGGCCACAGCGGAGTAGCCAATAAAAATAGCTCTGTAGCATTTTTCCAAGTCCCATTCGAGGGCGTAGTTCCAGTAGTCAACGAGAAATCCACACAAAAGAGCGCCTGAAGCAGCACCTAGACGGCCCAAAAATCCGTATAAAGCGAAGATGGACGCTCTGTGTTTAGGCGGCGTAAGATGGGAAATACAAACCTCCTCTACCGTTTTGAAAGGTCCTGTTTCATCGCCAGATGTCAGAATGACACCCAAAATTGCTGCTACCAAAAGAACCCAAAAGTTCAGAAACCATGCAAATACTAGCCCGGAAGCAAGCATCAAAATCGCTCCAGCGACCATCACAAGCCGTCTTCCAAGCTGGTCTGAGTACCACGTTAGAAGGTACGAGATTCCCGTGTCTCCTAGAAGCGTGAGTGTCATGAAAAGGCCAATATGAGCCTTTGAGACGCCAACAGCCTTGAGAAAAAGCGTAAGCACCTGGTTGGTGAGACCAAAACTGCCTCTTCTGAGAAACACAGATATGAGGAGCACGCGGACGTCCAGCGAGACCTCTCCAAGGGCGTTCATTGTGGGTTTTTCAATTGATATGTGAAAACTTTAGTAGTAGCGAACCGCTCTTGATAAGATGTAGGTTCGGAATTCCCAAAAATCGGAATCCTTATTCGTTCTTCGTTGTCAATAAGCGAGTTTTGCTGAACTTGACTTTTCAGCAATGGTTGGTTTATTGCGTGTATGTGTATGTTCAATCGTGAACTGCTGCTCTGGTGATCTGTTGATACCACAAACTCGAAACCTGCCAGAAGTGTCACAAAGCCAAATGGACCACTCCTCGAAGCTACTTTTCAAGGTATTGCAGAATCAAGATAATTAAGGCCTTGTAACGTCTCTCTTTCCGTGGTAGAAACAGCCCTCGAATTCCGCGTCGGTCTATCCAATCACTGAAACAACCAAGCAAAACCCTTCCTCTCAGCCAATAAATCCAAAATCCAAAAAGCCAAATCCAATTATCCCACCAAAGAGTCTATCTCTATCGTCCTCCTCAGGTGGTGTGGTTGTTTCTTTCTGGTGCAGGCCCGCGATGGGTTAAGTGTTGATGTCTAATTACTCCACAGACATGGATACCAAGTCCTCTTTGGACCGGTTGGCACACATCGCCAACATCACGCATGAGCTCACAGAGCTTAATCGGCAGATCAAGGAGGAGCCGACCCCGGATGTGGAAGTCCGAGGAGAAAAGAACGATCAACACGAAAACCTCAAACCTCGAAGACTAGCTTGCACTTCGTGTCGACAACAAAAACTGAAATGTGACGCCCAGGTGAGAGACCCGCTTCCGTGCACGAGATGTGAAAAGAAGGGGCTAGAATGTGTGGTGAAGGCGGATTTCAAGCGTACAGAGAAAAGAGCCCGATTGGCTTCGATCGAGAAGGAGTTTGCCGAGTTGAAGAAGACGTTTGGAGGGAGGTCTTTTGAAGGCACGCCTGTTCCTAATGCTCCGGTTGTTCCGTCGAATCTAGCGCCCCAGGCGGTCCAGAGTCCACAGATATCGAGGTTGAATGCTCAACTTGGTCTGAACGTGATGACTCCACAAATAAACGCCCAGATTCCGGGAAATGCACACATTTTGCCAAATCAGGGGCCTGTGCCCGTTCAGCAAGCTCCGCCGGCGGTACCACCCCAAATTGTCCCGGAGAAAGTGGACCCTCCAACGGCCATGGGGCATCGCTCATTTTTGAACATCAACCCGGGCGAAAAACCGTCCCAGGCACATAATTTTGCCGTCCCCGACCACGCCTTGCTCTGTGAGGAGAAATCGCTCGGAACCGTCACGCTTCTGCCCGAAAGTATCGGCCTGCTCTACATGGACTACGTTCACAACTACCACCCTACATTACCTGTCGTGGAGGTCGCCAGAGGCCCTGAAAGAATATACAGACTCTGCCCTTCGCTTTTCTGGGTGATTATGTTTGTGGCGCTGCGGCGGCTCAACGATAACGGCTCGCTTCTTTTGACGTTAGCGCCATTGATCAAGGATATTCTCTCTGAAATCACAATTTCTCCAATCACGCGGTACCACCCCACCGAGGAAGACGAGCCTATCATGAACGCCTGCTCTGTCTACTCCGTCCAGGCTTTCATATTGTACTCCATCTGGCCTCCATTGACGTCGTCTCTTAGTTCCGATTCCTCGTGGAACACTATCGGTGTGGCTTTGTTTCAAAGTATCAGAATTGGGCTCCATTCGTCTAGCCAGGTTCTCGACCAGGCTCAGCTGGAACCTATTTCTCCACAGCAGTATGCTATGGCCCAGGAGCAGATGAAAACATGGATTGTTTGCAACATTGTCTCGCAGAACATCGCTACCGTTTTTGGGTTCCCTGCATTCGTGCAATTCGACTCCTTGCGGCCACAGTATGTGGATTTGCCTGTGGCCACTCGGCACCTCATGGAAATCGCCCATTTCGAAGACCAGGTGGCTCGTTCATTGACCTCCAACCTCCATTTAGAGTACGGAACTCATCAGGTGAATGAGAGGCTTTCGCTTATAAAAGTTCTCCTCAGGCAACTTGACCAACTTGAGCTCAAGCTTACCTCCGACAATGTCCCCGATAACGGCTACAGAAAAATCAAATTCATTGTTGCACGAGTGCACCTTTTGACCCACTACTTTTTGGACGCCACAAACATCCCACCATTTGAGTTATCAAAGGGTCTTGTCAGGCTTTACAATGCCGCCATCTCACTAATCACCTGTGTCCAGACACTTATCTCCATTGAAAAAGACTTTGTCAAGTTCATGCCCGTGGTCTCAATTTTGAATATTTGGCAGGCATCTTTCGTCATAGTCAAGCTTGCACATTCACCTTTGAAATCTGTGCTTAATGTGGAGCAGGGCAAGCTGACATACATGAATGCCATATCCATTGTGGCTAGAGCATCTATCTTGAAACATGATGTCGCATACAGAGCCAGCGGAATTATGAGAAACATGTGGCCGCTCTTCAAGACCCTTGATGAGAAGCTGATGACGACTCTACTGATCAAGGCACGTTCACGAATGGCAGCTTCATTATTTTTCGACTGTTTGTCGCTTCTTCGTGACCAGGTTGGTATGGCTCAACTCAGCATTCGTACCGATGTCAGAGACAATGCTGATGACGACAATGACGATGAGAGCAATTCATACGGGGAAGAGGACGACGAAGAACAGGCTGTTTCTTCCGAAGACGAGGATCCCAAGGCTCGTCGTCAAAGCAAAACGCCGAGTCAGAAATCAACACCAGGCAGCATCACCAGTTCTGGCCGTAAGAGACGCAGATCTTTGTCCAATGTTGGCGATGCCGAAAGCAAAGCTCGTCGTATCATTCGTACCATTCCATTGGACCCTCAACCCATTGCAGCTTCAAAGCGGAGCTCGATCTTCAAGGTGGTGAACACCAGTGCGGAAACTTCACCCAGTATCAGAAACGACGAGTCTCATTCACGAAGCTCAGGGTCGCCTGCCTCATTTGTGAAGAATAATCATCATCAGCATGCGCCTCAGAATGGCCATAATCCTGCCACACCACAAATGCAGCAAGCGCAAAAGGCTCAGAGGCCGCAGAATAGAGAAACCTCTGATCTATACCTCAACTTTGACGAGTCGCCTTCACAGGGTGTGGGCAATCTCGATGTCTTTGACGTAAATAGTGATTTGATCTGGAAGGATGTGGACAGTCTCATGAACGACTTTGGCTTCCACGCATAAGAGAGTCAAAAGGGAAAGTGAATGGGATTATGGATATTACAGGGGCAGGGAGAAGGTAATGAAGATGGCGAAGTGGTCTCATGAATACCGTTGGTCTTGAGTTACGACACCATGTGGCCCTCCAAAACGCAACAAAATAGAGTTTTGTAGATAGTCATGCGTTTTTGGAAGGGCACAACTAAATAAATTCCAATTCCAGTGGTAATCCGGTCAATCAGCACTTGTAGTACTCTACCTGCTTGATAGTGCTGCATAAGGCCTCGCGTATATCAACAAACATCAAAACCCACCAAACCTCCATCTACACTTTTCCTCAAAAATCAAAATATCCACCAATCAGGATGTCCTCCAATGAAATGGTCAATCCTCACGAGCAGCAGCAGCTGGCTCTTCTTGCGCGTATCATCAACAGCACCAAATCGCTCAACGACTCGGTCCATGATATGAACTTATTTCTCCACAAGATCAACAGCGACAACAAAAACATCGATATTGTGGCGCAGATGTGGGAGAATTACTCGCTGAATGCTGAGTACAATCTTGAAGCCACCGGTCAGAAGAGGAAGCCACTTTGAGCAGCTGGGATTGAGTCTGCTAGATCGACGGATAAACTCAAAAGATCATCCGCTCGCATAAAGAAAATATGGTTAGCGAATCGTCAGTCACACATGAATCATTTCGTTGTGTGATGTGTATTCACTCGGGTCCTCTGTGCTAATGCGCCGGAATATCACATACCTTGACAAGCCTGCCGGTTCAGGCTTTCAGGAGGGTGGTTTGCAAAGACGAGATCGCTTCCTTTTAATTTTAAGGCTCGAATGAGCATTTCCCAAAATTTAATCTCAATAGGTTAATTAGAAGGTGTCTTATGGCTACATGCTGGCCACGACGAGCCTTGCAATCGAAATGGGTCCGACCAAATTTACTCAACATACACATCACGTATCATGATCAAGAGTTCGACTTCTAGGGTCTGGAAGGCAGAAAGGCTTTGGCTTATCGGCCCTTTAATCGATAGACTTGATGCCTAACCTGGGAATATAACTACAACCTGATAGGCTATCCACTCAAATACACTGAACAGACCCATTTGCTCCATCCTGTAATAATGTCAAGTTCCCTTGCTATTTCTTTGACTTCGAGACATCGTACCCTACATTCCATGCAACCCACATCAGTATGCCGCATCCCAAATGATGGTTTCCACCACTCATCTACACGACCAAGCGGTCCTTTTTCCAAATAAACTTTATTGATATGCTGAATTATAGTACATTAGCCAGAAACATCATCCCTCGACACTTAGTTCTGGGTTGGCAACATGCCGAATCTCTTCTTCAAAGTGACTCTCTGTCTAGAGTACTTGTCATCTGGGGAGAATCTGGCGGGGTGGGCGGATTTGGTAATCTCGCCGTCACCGGTGATCTTCTGCAAAGTGTAGACTCTCTTGCCGTCAGGGCCCAAAGTGTACATCAAATGCATTTTTGGAGGAGGTGGTTATGATGAGATGAGGTTCGAAAAACTTCATCAGTAGGTGCTACGACACCCGTACACCTCACGCCGGGATGGTTGCAAAAACGGCCCTGACTGTCCCCTAGAGGTATTAGTCAATATATTATGCCATAAATTAAATCCTATTTTGCTATTCATTTATCGTGTTAAGTTTTTACTAGTCTCTGTGGCATCCTAAAAGAGTTACGAGTGCTAACTCAGTCCCGAGGCATTTTTAGGTCTTTTAAGCTATTCCAGTGTAAGTTTTGCAACCAACTAATTACAAAGCACTACTTTTCAATTTTGAATCTTCTTATTAAAAATTCAACATATCTTTCATATCAAACCACCTCTCTCAACAACATATCAAATGGCTCTGTGGCCGAGCGGTCTAAGGCGGCAGACTCAAGTTCTGTTATCGTAAGATGCGCGTGTTCGAATCACGCCGGAGTCATTATTTTTTGGACATCTTTTCCAAATCTTTTTTATTCTATGTATTAGAAGCCTTATTTCAGCAGGCTGTTTCTGGAAACAAACCTGAAACTAAAGAAAGATCGCTGTCACGTGCTGTGTCACGTGCAGCGCTCGATATCGTCCACCTTGTCAAAACTCTATCTACAACTACCATTAACCATGGCTCCACCCAAAAAAGACGCATTTGCCGACTTGTTCCTGTCGGCTACGGGCCTGGGCCTGGGATCATCGCTAAATCAGAATATGAACAAGCTCTCCTTGCAGGAGCAATTGCATTCTCAGAAACCCAAATCACAAAGTCCATTCAATGACTGGGAGGTATTGTCATCTGGGAAATCAACCCCACCGGTCAAGCCAAGTTCACAGGCTCAGGATCCTTTTCTGGTTTTTGAAAATAAAAAGTCAGCACCAGCATCATCCATTGACGATGATCTACTATTCGGTCTAGGCTCCACATCCAAGCCTTCTACACCCTCAGTTCCACAGCAAGCACCTAAAGCACCAAAGCAGCCAAATAACATGGACAATCTCCTTGATGATGATTTCACGGACGCATTCACTCCTGAACCTGTCGCTCCTCCAAGACCTGAGCCAGAGCCTGAAATTGAAGAAGAACCCAAGATCCAACAACCTGTGGCTAGAAAGCCCTCTCAGGTTCCAGAGCTGGGGAGAGACTCCGTTTTGGCTGGTCTTGTCGACATTGGCTTCCCCGTTGATGTTTCCAACAAGGCGATTGACCAGGTTGGACCAGATCTTCAAGGTTGTGTGAATTTCATCATGAGTGGAGGAGAAAGGACCCCAGCTTCGGGTCGGTCATCCAGATCATCCAGACAGAACGCTCGTGCCAGTCCGCTGGGTCAACAAGACTTGGGTGCGGCGTTTCAGGATTTCTCTACAGACATGTTCAAGAAAGCATCGTGGTTTCTCGCCAAATCCAAGGAAACGGTTTCTAGAAACATTGAGCAGTTCCAGGGACGTGAGAAGGAGAACAATTCTATGCCTGCGTGGATGAGGCAGCAAGACGAATACAAGGAACGTGCGCTGGAAAGGAAGAAGGATGGCAGTAATTATGAAGATTACGGAACCGATGCAGAAAACATTGACCAAGAAGAGATTCAGCGAATTATCAGGTTGCAGAAGCAGCGCGAGAAGGAGAGACAGAGGCAGAGAATCGATAAGCTCAAAGAAGGTTTGAGCAGCAGCAAAAACAAAGAAAGCAGAGAAAGCCTGGCTCGTTCTTCCCCACAGCCACCCATGCCTAGGAGGCCTTCTCTGGCAGCCAATCAAAAGATTCAACCACCTCAGGAACCTGCTAGGCCAGTGTCTCAGCCAGTTCAGCCTAAAGATCAGCGTTCTAAACCTTCCCCAGCACTTCAAGAGGACGACTTATTAGGCCTCAGAGACGATTCCCTCACACCAAGTGAACGATTCAAAGCTTCTCAGGGAGACGATGATGTGTATGTCTCGTCTTCAAGAAGACGCCGTGCCAAGGTATCTTCCAAGCCCCGTGTGGCTACCTCGGAAGCACTCAATGCTTTCCAACAGTCAGATTATGAAACTTACAAAGCCAAAGGCACAGAAGCTTTCACGAACGGTAATTACGACGACGCATTCAACGCATACACCAAGGTTCTCGAGAGCCTTCCAGTTAAACACGAGCTTCGCATTGTCATCACTTCGAACTTGGCTATCACGAATATAAAGCTCGGAAATTACAAGCTGGCCATACAGTTGTGCGATGAAGGTATGGCATTGGTGGGAGAAAACATAAATGACGCTGATTGGGTCTTGAATGATAAGGAAATAAAGTACTGGTACGTTAAGTTATTGGCACGGAAGGCTGAGAGTCTTGAGATGACTGAAAATTTCCCTGCTTCGCTTGAGTGCTACATGGAACTTATATCCAAGCATGGTGTCAACGAGAAGAAAGTAATGGATGCCAAACGCAGAGTTAACAATATTGTGAACCCACCTAAACCAGCTCCAAAGAAGGCTCCCCAAGCATCTGACAGTGCACCAAACAAGGACTATGCCCAAGTGAAGAAAATCAGAAAACAGAACCTTGAGGACAAGCAGCAGGAGGAGAAAAAGTTCAAATTGCATGATCAGGTCCACGATCGTGTCCAAGCATGGAGTTCCGGTAAGGAGGACAATCTCAGGAACCTCCTCATGTCCCTTAGCGATGTTCTTCCCGAAAGACTCGGCTTCCCATTCATCACTACGAAGAAGATCACCATTAATGATCTTATGCTCACCAAAAAGGTCAAGATTAATTACATGAAGGTCATTAGTGCCATTCACCCGGACAAATTGGGTAAGTTCGAGTTGGAAGACCAAATGGTGTGCCAGGCCGTCTTCATCACCTTAAACAAGGCCTGGGACACTTTCAAGGAGCAAAACAACATAGCATAATAAAGTCACCAATAGATGAGAAAAAAAAAAAATAAGATAGACTCAGCAGTAGCAGCATTCAATCTGATGCTGCGTTAAAAGGGGAAAAAAAAAAAAAAAAGAACTCCGATACGGGAGTCGAACCCGGTCTGCTCGGTGAAAGCGAACCGTGATAGCCGTTACACTATATCGGATGTTTACAAATATTTGGTGTGCAGGGTCAATATATCGTCTAACTCTATTTGTGTCTATATGCAGTTCCAATTTGTTTTCGTTCAATTTTCCTAAATCTTTCTTGTTTACTCCAAGGAAGCAACTGTTCCAGCTTGAATATTTTCAAATTAGCTCAACTAGTCTGTGTTGGAAATGACGGAAATTTACCGGCTGCTTTGTTGGTATTAATGAGTAGGCTGATATCATTCAAAAAAGTAGCGGGTACACTGTGCCCTCACTGCCGCATTATCAAGATAATGTAATCAAATCCTCGACCGCAAAAATCAAAGAAACACTCTCAGTCAGAAGCGGATTCTTCGATTGACTGCACTATTCCACCTTGTCTCGAAATGAGAGCTTCGAAAGAAAAGGATGTGCTATTCAAACATTTCAGCGCCACATACAAACTGTACAAAGAATTTTTAAAAAGAAAAATGGTTTCAATAAGCAAGCAACTCTCGGGAGTCGCTTTGGCCTCTCGAAAACTTTCACGACATGACTTGTAAAGTCATTTATTGCGATCAATACGACTACCTTTGCTGCACAACAGGACATTCGTAGATTGTCCCAATAAAGAATGCACTTGTCGTAAGGATGGGTTGAAGTCACATTTGAACTGTTTTCGACTTCGCCGTCGTGGTGAAGCTCAGGTTTGGTGAGGAACAGATGACAAAGCCGGTAAGACTATTTGCGATATTCCATACATGTCCCGAGAAATTCAATAATCAAATGAAAGAAACTCATGAATGGTAGTGAAAAATTATATAGCAACTTTTTCTTTCCTTTAGGTGTTTGTTTATGTTATTCAGAAAGCTCACCATGTAAGGCCATTTTGCAACCAAATTGGGCGAGCAGGACCAAATCGTGAAACTGATAGTGGGGACAAAAAAAGCTACAACAAAGGTCTTTTATCGTCATTGCAACTGACATTTGAAGAAGATTCACAATAAAAACTCATCTAATCAGCCCTTCCTAATTCCCACCTCCGATGATTATTTCCATCATCAGAGCCGATGCGATGAGCATCGGTGCGAAACGTTACCCCAGATTTTCTCAAATTACATATTTCACGACAATCCCCATGCTGGAAAAAAAAGAACTAGAAAATGACATACTACGCTATAATGAGCTTTTGAAGCGCTCCGAAGAATTGGAGAAAGACATACCTCCCAGGCGAGAACCAAAGAGACCAGCCAAACCTGCAAAAGCACAGGTCAAGGAAGTCAAAGTGAAGAAGGAGCCAGCCAAAGTCAAGGTGAAAACGGAACCCAAGGGCACTAGAAGGCAGCCACCGAGAAAGAGCAAAGTTGCTGTGAAAATGGAGGAAGAGGAGGAGGAGATCGCCAGAAAGCCTAGTATACCACAAAGGAAGCGTCCTAAACCAAAGGCCAAAGAAGAAATGAGAAACTGTCCCAAAAGAATCAAGTATTTTCTGAGCCACAGGCCCGTGAAGAAGGAGGAACATGAAGAGAAGTACCTTCGTCTGAAGGTGAGATCTTTCGAGGACCACATATCAGTAACTCTGTCGTATAGTGACTTGATCCAGGCGGTGAAGGAAGACGAAGGAAAAACGCTTGATTTCGGGATGCTGATGAACTTGCTTCCGAAAAACATTGCTTTTGAGAAGAAGCGGTTTGAGTTTGGCAGTTCAAGCGAATTTGACTCCGTACTAGATCGCCGCCACAGTTTCAACGACGACATTGATCGATTTTTTCGACAAATAAGCGATGGAGGTGCTTTTACGGCGTCAAGCGATGTACCTCTAGTGTGATGAGGGTGGCCCCATGGGCATTTATAGAATTATAGAACAAGCATAAGCAGCACAGCCTCTGCAAGGCGCCCGAGTAGATGAACCAAAGTTACATGAAGATGGAGGTAAAAGTGAAAAAAGAAAAAAAAAAAAAAAAAAAAAAAAAAAAAGAAGCGAACAAAAAGCATTTTGGAGGAATGCAGCTTGGACACTTATCACAAGTGTAGTCTGAGCATTGGCGACAAGCCTGGGGTCCAAACCAACAACCACACAAGCATTACCACACCACGGGTCTGCTACACAAGCAAATTTTGCCAATTTCTCAACTACTCCTTCCGATTGCGCTTTTGGCAAAACAGTCGCTGTACGGTTCACGGTCCCAACCGCTGGTCGACTATTCTCAAGCGATGCACCCTCTTGACGTCACCCAGTCCAAGAACAGCGGGACCGGGGCACAGCGTTCCTTGATAATTAAAAAAAAGCCACCAAAAAGCGATTTTTCATTGGCGCCGCTGACCCACTCGTAGCCTCATCCACCTCACCAACTCACCACCAAACCTCATCACTCCACCAACCCAAATCCACAAGTACGGTCCGCCCAGAAAGGGTCCATACGCGTTCGCGCCTTGGCCCACAATGACACTAGCGATGACTTCTCCGTGCCATGACGTGAATATCTCGGCACCGGAGCCAAGAGATGAGAAATCTGACACAATGGCCAGGGGCAGCGGTTTTTCTGTTCTACAGCAAAAGGCTCGTTTGCTCCGAGGCAGGCGCTGAATGAAGCTGGCTGTTTATGCTGGGCTTCGTTGGACTGGCTACAAGGCAGGCTTTGGCCGGCAGCACAGCCAGGAACGGGGAGTGAACAAGTAGCTTTAGGATTTGGTTTTAAGAAAGTAAAAAAACAAAGGACATCATTTTTTGGCGACTCTTTCAAATCACTCAATTTACAAATTCACTGGTGCCGCTTTCTCGGGCCATTTGGTGGGACCATGGCGGTTTGCATCAGCTGCGACTGCGCCCCAGCAGAAGCCGAGCCTGGAGCCGTGGCGTACGTTGGTGGACGCTTTGCAAAACGCAAAAAAACCAATTTTTCAAAAAAACAGGCACATTTTGACTCTGCCAAACTTCCAAATTAAGGCCCTGGCTCTAAATGGCTCAATGGAAGGGCTAGCCCACCTCGGAGCCGCGGCGCAACCGCACGTGCTCGTATATTTTGACGTGCAGCTGCCAGCCAACGGTCGCCAAAACGGACCTTCCAAATACGACTCAAAAAAACCATGAAAATTTCCCGCCAAAACCGACTTTTCCGATTGCAACAATGTAAATTTCTTCCAATTTGGCCCACTAAAAGTACGTAATGCTCCGCCCCTACCCCCGAGGCGCTGCGCGCAGGCAAGCGAGTCCTGTCAAAAACCCCGTAAGTTTTCAGCCTGATCCCGACAAAGGACTGCTCCTGCCGGGGGTATATAAAGCCTGCATTTCTCCCAGATCAGCCCGTTTCAACGGTGTTTTTTCCCTCGTTTCCTTCCCTACCTTCCCCAGGTTTATCCCACCATACTCTTCTCTGCGTGCCCAGATCCGCCACGCCTGCACTGCCCTCCTGATCCGCTATAAATACAGCGCCATGGCCGTTTTCCGGAACTCCTCCCGAGCAAAAAAGTCCACCATGGAACAGACCACCCCACAACAACCCGAGGAACAAGGCGGCCACTACAACGCCCCCGAGATCCACGACCCGATCCTCAAAGCGGTCAACGAGGCCCAGCCTTTTGAGGAGGCCACCGCCGGCCATTTTGGCAGAAGACCTTCCTACTTGTCCCAGTCCTCTGGCGACTTGAAGGACCCCTTTGGCCAGCCCATCCGCCAGGCCGACATGCTGAACCCAGCCCGTTCCAGAAACGAGAGACCCTTGGACACGATCCGCGGCTTTGAGTACCAGATCACGGGCGACTTGTCGTACAGAGACCAGCTCGAGTCGAGCCGCTTGGGCTGGGGGTTCCACGAGGATTTCCCCCACTACAGCCTTCTGGGCCAGGGCGACGGCCAGGAGTACCTGCGGCCCGTGGCCAGCTTCAGCGGCGGCGAACAGGCCATGTACCAGGCCAACAACTACAGTGCATCGTCGTTGAAGCCAGAGACCAAGAAGAAGAAGAAGGGCCTTTTTGGCCGCAAGAAGTAGAGTGCCTGCCGGCGGCCGGTGCTGGTTGCCAGGCTGTCTGGTCTACGTTATGTTATGTTGTATACGAACGCGCCGAGGTATGGCAGCAGAGTGTAGGTGTTTGACGGTTGCTGGCTCGGATCGAGCCTCGCTGGAAGGCGGAGTAGTGGTCCAGGCATTAGGCGCCGTGCATATCACACAGCCCTGACTAAAACACAAAGACGCAGAAGGGGGTGCTGAGCTCCTTTTGCTGTGAAATTGATGATTTTAACGAGTTTTCTTTTTTGTAGAAGTGATGGTGGTGGTGGTGGTGATGTTAGTCTGGGGATTGCCGACGTAAAGATGCGTTAGGGCGCATACGTTTGGCTGCAAAACCGCCGATCATGCTCGGTGTCTGGAAAGGCTCACCTTATGGATGTTTGGTTGGGAGGGGTTATTTGTTGATTTTAGTGAAAAGGGGAAATTTAGAGGAAGAAAACGAAGCAAATTGAGGGGAATCCCAACTGGTGCAGATCGTATGGTGTGGCGATCGTCAGGTGTCTCAGAACAGAGAGAGGTATGAGAGGGTAGGTAAAGAGACTTTTGAGAGACTTTCAGCAAAAAAGAAAGGGAAGCTGAAAAACAGTGAATTCACAAGAGCAAATAAAATGGACTCACTGGGCTGTGTGAGGGCCGAGCTAAGTGGAAGTATGGTACTTCTGAGCCGTAATGCCGCAGCATGATGTAGGCGGAGGTGTGGTGATGTCCGATGGTGGGTTCAATATTAAAAGGAATTATTTAAAAGTTTGAGAATATCCGGGGATGACGGAGTATGGCAACTCCAAATTGGGTAAGTTTTGTGTGGTGTCACAGATGTTGAGGTGACGATTCCATATTTCAAGTAACGTCAGCTTCCAAGACGTCAAGGAGGCAGTAGTTGGTGGAGCTTAATGAGAACCATGAATAGGCTCCACCATTTGGCTAGGCTTGCCTGAGTGAACAACTGCAACTTCAAGGCATCTGTCTCTATTGTAGAATAGCACCAAATCGAGCACACAAACATCGACATTATCTCTTTTCACAACGCCCTTATACTACTGTAACACTCAAAGTACTAAAGATTGACTTAACGTTACTATGGCACCCCCTGACTCTAATCCGACTCTGTCCTCCCCTTGGAGTCAATTTCCTATTCCTACAGAAGACCAGGTACAGCTGACGCAAAATGGCGTATCTACATCCAGCTTTCGAGCCCATTCAGTAGCACCCTGACGAGCTTGCACATCAACAGCATGCTGTCACCGCACTTGCATTTGGCTGCAAACCCATCTCTGACAAACCTCTCAATAAACTCATCTAAATCACATTCAATTCCAGCCCATAGGCCTCTTATACACCAGCGCAATTAAACTCCAGACGCTGCACCCTATCGCCTCGAGGCGGTCGACCGCAATATAGATCTACAGCTCTCGAGGTCCGAAACACTGACGTAATTGAAACACCGTCATAAATCCCAAGTGTTTCAAAACTCATCCGCCTGCCTTGTTCCCCAGATCGACCAGGTCTCTTACACGGCATGTTTCAAGGTGACGCAATCGAGCTGTCGGTGACAGCCGTGCGTCGGGCGGTCTGCGGCAGGCGAATTAGAGTTTCGTACATTTTCTGGTTTCACAGTTTCAGGCCAAGGCCCGTATCCGCCAAAAGGCAAGAACCACCGACATTCCCGTTATCTAAAGGTCTGTATAGGCCGGCTCGCTTAACATTCCCCAGATCAATGGGCCACGCCAACTCAATGGCACATTGAGTAAACAAACGTTCAAAACACACAATACCATCATTGGATAATAAATCAAAAGGCCGTATTTGATCCCACTGTTTCAGTTTCGCCGGTGTTTCAGAATCACGGCCAGACCTCGCGATTTCGCAGCCACCCGCAGCAGGGTTCCGAAACCCCAGCCAGAGGTGTCCCAAAATCACCACATTAAAGGCAACAAAATAATTGTAGATAAAAATCCAAGAATCCCCGTCCAAAATATCCCACAATGAAATCTCACCCCCACCACTCCCCATCGCTGTGTTTCAGGTGCCGATCGTCCTGCGCTGCTACATCGCGTACATTTCCTCGTGAAACTCCCTCATATATACCCTCTCAGATACTCATTTCCAAAACCACCATAGCATCACCATGGACCAAGCGGTGTACCATCCCCAGTACCCCCAGCAGCACCAGCAAGTACACCATCCCCAGTATCCGCTGGACCAGCAGCCGCTAGAAAAGAACCAGCTTGACCACAAGTACAGATTCAATGTGCTGGATCATTACAGAATCGAAGAAATCGTGGGCAAGGTGCCTACGGCGTGGTGTGTGCTGCCACCCACAAGCCCACACAGCAGAGAGTGGCCATTAAAAAGATAGAGCCGTTTGAGCGGGAAATGCTTTGCCTCAGAACCCTCCGTGAGTTGAAGCTTCTCAAACACTTTAACCACGAGAACATCATCAGCATCTTGGCCTTGCAGCAGCCAGCGTCCTACGAGACCTTCAACGAAATCTACTTGATCCAGGAACTCATGGAGACAGACCTCCACAAGGTGATCAGAACACAGCAGCTTCTGGATGACCACATTCAGTATTTTGCTTATCAGACCCTCAGAGCCCTCAAGGCCTTGCACTCGGCCAACGTGCTCCACAGAGACCTCAAGCCGTCCAACTTGCTTATGAACGCCAACTGTGACCTCAAGATCTGTGATTTTGGGCTTGCCCGGTCGGTGGCTTCTTCAGAGGACAACTTTGGTTTCATGACAGAATACGTGGCTACGCGTTGGTACAGAGCTCCAGAAATCATGCTTACGTTTCAGGAGTACACTACTGCCATTGACGTGTGGAGTGTGGGGTGCATTTTGGCCGAAATGGTGACGGGCCGTCCGCTTTTCCCCGGCAGAGACTACCACAACCAGCTATGGCTCATAATGGAGATTTTGGGCACCCCAAGCTCCGAGGACTACTACAATATCAAATCGAAACGTGCTCGCGAGTACATCAGACTGCTCCCGTTCTGCAAGAAGGTGCCGTTTACTGAGCTCTTCTCGCAGGTGCCCGAGGTGAATCCTTTGCTTATTGACTTAATCGAGCAGCTTCTCGTGTTCAACCCGGCCAAGCGTATCACAGTGGAGAATGCCCTAGCGCACCCATATCTCGATATATACCACGATCCCGAGGACGAGCCATGCAGCGAGCCGATTCCCGACAATTTGTTTGACTTTAACAAGCACAAGGACCAGTTGTCGATTGCCGACTTGAAGAGGCTTCTCTACGAAGAGATCATGCAGCCGTTATAGCATATAGACATTGAGCATACGAGCCACGATAAAACAATAGCCATAAACTAGACAGTTGGGAATGTGTAGGTGTGGTGAGGTAGAAAAGCGGTAGATTTAAGAATGAAGCATCAACTATGGTTTTGAGGGCTTCATTGTCTGGAGATTTATGATATCTGCGATCTTGAAGTCCGTCCATGTCTTTATTTCAAAATTGTAGACAAAAGAGAACAGCCTTGAATCAACGTTGATTGTGAAATTTTTGAAAAATGCCTATCCTTCAAAAATTTCAATTTTCTTATCCTAATAGGTTCACCATACTGAACCAGGCCGATTGTTCGGTGGTGCGATTGAAGGCTATAGGTATACAATTTATGAATCCCGCCTAATGAGCAAAACCCAAATTTTCGTAATTTGGCAAAACTATATTTTTCATCCAAAGTCCCCTAAAAACCTTCAAAGCAGCCTCCCTGGCGGTTTGATGAAACCGATACCCAGGCAGTCGTGCAGGGACCGCGTTGAAGAAAACACGCAGCATTTCCAGATCACCAAGTCAACTCCAACTCCACCACGATAATGAACTTTTTCGCCCTCGTGTTCATGCTTGTGGCGGTCGTGCAGGCACATACCGTGCTCTTGCCGCCCCACGGAAAGCAGTGTTTCTTTGAGCACCTCAAGGCTAACGATGAGTTGTCCATCAGCTACCAGGTTGGTTCCAGAGACCCCAACAACGCTGAGCAGTACACCATTGATTTCTACATTATTGCTCCTAACGACAAGATGAGAGTTTCTAGAGGCAGCGTTGACCACGGTGACGAGACCGTCAAGGCCGAAATGACCGGCAGATACAAGTACTGTTTCCTGAACGAGAAGTCGTCTCGTGTCGACTTGGATGTTTCTTTCAACGTGCACGGTGTGGTGTACATCGACGTGAACGACCCCCAGTCGGACACTTTGGACTACGCGATCCAGAAGTTGGGTGAATTGACCAGCGACGTCAAGGCTGAGCAGAACTACTTGGTGATCAGAGAGAGAACCCATAGAAACACCGCAGAGTCGACTAACTCGCGAGTCAAGTGGTGGTCGATGTTCCAGATTGTAGTTGTGGCCGCCAACTCGTTGTTCCAGATCTACTACTTGAAGAGGTTCTTTGAGGTGAGGTCGGTCGTCTAGTCCACCCCATAATTGTGCATATCCGGTCTCAGACCACCAACGGCAAAAGTCAATAAACGAGACGTAATAGAGAGATGTAGTGGAGGCAGATTGACGTTGAAGGGGGTGTCGGTGTCTGAGGAGTGTTTGTAGGTTTGACAGCTCTGGTGACACCAAGAGAGAATAATTAACAAAGAAGAGCCAATTTATTTTCGCTCAAATTCCATTACTCTTATAGTCATTATTGCTTTGGCAATATAGAAAAGAAGAAGCATGAAAATTTAGGAGCTTTAGTGGCATGAGTCTTGATAAATGATGTGGGATAGGAAGTACGATATAGCCATCACCGACTGCAAATCCAAATCAGCATTCCTTGAGAAGAAGGTTGATAAAGCGAAGAAGGTTGATAAAGCTCATTCAATGTCAGAATACACTATATCACTTCATTCAAGAATGCAGGTTTTGATACTTCATGGACTTCCCTGTCCTTTCCATCTTCATCACACGGCTATCACGAAAGAGGTGTCGAATCATCGACCATCCAAAACCGTCAAACATCAAACATTCCACTCCCAGTTTTCAACTTTAAACAGATCACTACTTCAAAAATTTCCCACCTCAAAATACTCCTACATTACCTCCAACCTCCACATCTTCTCCATTAATGGCGGCCTTGAGGGTGCATTGAGGTGCGTTAGCGGGTCCAAGTCCGAGCTGGCCGAGACCAAAGTGCAACGGCCAGGTTCGCCAAAAACCGAGCTTTCTAGGAAAAAACAAAAACACAAAGAAACAGAAATTAGCGGGCTACGGCGTTTGGATAATGGCTGCGAAAATCGTCCCGAAACTGGCAACCCAAAACGCACAAGGAGTGAAAAAGACTGAGAGAACGAGGCGTTTGGTCTCAGTTAAGGGCAAAGGACCGTCAGCCAGAATGCAAAATAAGCTTTGCTGAACCGGGTGGCCTTGGCGGGGCAGGTGGGGCAGGTCCCTGGATTCTCCGGTTTCCAAACCCCGAGACCCCAGATTTCGGCAACGAGGGCTATCGAAGAATTGATTTGATTGGTCATTTTGTTTTCTCTTATAATTTTTTTCTATTTGAGAGCTCTGGTGTTTAAGACGGGTGTCCCGAGACTCGCCTGATTCCTGTGTGGGCCTGGCCAGTTGCCTATTTCGTTCCAGGCAGGTATGACAGTTTTTCAAAATAGTGAAAACACCGTGACCAGCGGTTGATAATATGGATTCGAGGGTGGTTTTTAAGGTTTGGTTACGGTTTAGGGAAGGCAATGCTCTGTGATAGGACGACCGGTGAAATTCAATGGACTGTGAAAGAAGCGTTCAATGGATCTTACATTGTCTGTCGAGCCGCCAAGGAATACCTATTTTTCAGAACGGCTAGTTGCAAAGTACAACTTCAGCATTGTAGTTCAAAAATAAAGGTGAAGAGGTGGAATGTCGGCACTTTCGGCCCCCGAACCCAAGCCTTCTTTTTCAGAATATCCCAAAATACCGGCTAAACCAGGGTTCTCCATCATCTCTCCACACTCTGACACAAGCGAGTGCGCTTTGGGTGCAAATCGACCGTGCATCGGCGCCACACTCCCATACATAGACGGATTTTTTTGAAAATTCAGCCAAACCATCCCTCCACCAATTGTTGCCAATTCATCAAAATTCCAAATCCCAACCCCCTTTTATACTTTCTTTAGGCCCACCCAACATTGGGATACGGCACCAGCCAACCCGTACTGCATGCAGTCCGAGTCCTCCAGATTCAGCGCGCCGTTAAGCACCGCTCGGCTCAAAGGAACTCCTGTGTGACCCCACCATTTATTCCGAGCACATATATAAGCAGCTGATTACCTCCTCACTTTTTCTGCCCCTCCATAATCCTCAACATGTCCAAGTATTTTACGGAAGTCAAGGAATTGCCCCCAGACCCCCTTTTCGGCCTCAAGGCCCGTTACGTCGCCGACAAGCGTACCGACAAGGTCGACTTGGGCATTGGTGCTTATAGAGACAATAACGGCAAGCCTTGGATCTTGCCCGCCGTCAGAAAAGCTGAGAGAAAGTTGATCGACTCTGAGGGCTACAACCACGAGTACCTTTCGATCTCAGGATACGAGCCATTTTTGGAGCAGAGCGCCAAGGTGATTTTGGGCGAAGACTCCCAGGCCATCCAGCAAGGTGCTGTGGTGTCTCAGCAATCGCTTTCAGGAACTGGTGCTTTGCACTTGGCTGCTGCTTTCTTGAAGCAGTTCTACGCTGGCACCCACACCATCTACTTGTCGAAGCCAACCTGGGCCAACCACAACCAGATCTTCTCCTCCGTTGGTTTCAAGGTCGAAAGCTACCCATACTGGGACGCCCAGAACAAGAAGTTGGACCTCGAAGGCTACCTTGCCACCATCAAGTCCGCTCCTCGTGGCTCGATCTTTGTCTTGCACGCCTGCGCCCACAATCCAACTGGTTTGGACCCAACTGCCCAGGAGTGGACCCAGATCTTGCAGACCATTGCTGAACACGACCACCTTCCCCTTTTCGACTCGGCCTACCAGGGCTTTGCCTCGGGCGATTTGAACAAGGATGCTGCTCCTATCAGAGAGGCGATCAAGGCAGGCACCATCTCCTCTCCTATCCTCATTTGCCAGTCGTTTGCTAAGAACGTTGGTATGTACGGTGAGCGTGTGGGTGCTATCCACGTCGTTTTGCCTCTCAGTGAAAACGCCAGCACCAGAGACCCATTGAAGAAGGCCATCAAGTCGCAATTGAACAAGTTGACGCGGTCTGAGTTCTCCAACCCACCAGCTTACGGTGCTAAGATTGTCGCCACCATTCTTACGGATGATGAGTTGCGTAAGCAGTGGCAGGAGGACCTCATCACCATGTCTTCAAGAATCATCTCCATGAGAAAGGAATTGAAGAGACAGTTGGAAGAATTGGGAACTCCCGGTACCTGGGACCACATCACTAACCAGACTGGTATGTTCTCCTTCACCGGTTTGAGTGCCGACATGGTGGCTCGTTTAGAGAAGAACCACGGTGTGTACTTGGTGAGCTCCGGTAGAGCCTCTGTTGCAGGTTTGAACGAGCACAATGTCTCCAAGGTGGCTAATGCCTTTGACGAGGTTATCAGACACTTTGCCAAGTCCAAGTTGTAATCAGCAGAGCTATATATTAATCGATATTCATGATCATTGCGAATTTTCTAAGTTAGAGGTATTTGTAGCGTACAAAGGGGATTAGGTCTAGCAGAGCAGTCTTAGTGAGTGATACTACAACGGATCCGGTAGACCTCAATTGAAAAAGTGCAATTGTAGACATTGAACCATGTTAACCTGATTTTGAATTGAAAGTTACTGACGCATGGGTTCTTCAGACTCTAGCTGAAAGAATGGATACAGTGTAATATGTTCCTCACATAGTCTTGATGCCTACCCCAGATGATATTCACCTATACATTGAATTACAATCTTCAAATGAAACCCAGATCTACCATAGACTGAACTTTTTAAAGTCATCCGATGTAAGAATTAATATCAGGCGTTGTGAGTAACAATAATTAAGGAGGTTCAGTGAGTAGTGTGGGATCCGTGCTCATGATACACCAATTTCCCCACCACCAAGGTGTGTATCAAGTAAAATCAAAGGCCTTATTGATCTCAAGAATCATAGAAATCTCTAGGTAAGTTTGCCCCGGTTCTTCAATTATCTACAGTGTAATTGGCTCCTTTCTATAAGAACCACATCTACAACGTATCCACATATATGCATGTTTTATTCTTTATTAATTACGCCTAAGGCTTACTTTCTTCTGAAAGAGCAGCCCTCGGTCAACTTAGCCTTACCACCGGTTGGGGTGCACAAGACAGTGGAGCAGTTGTCACAGGTGACAGCGGTCTGTGCGTGGGAGAAGACAGTGGTGATGTTCAAGCAGCCCTGGCACTTGACGTCCATGAAGTAGGATCTTGGGCCCTGCACCAAGGTCTTCTTCTTGTGTTTCTGAGCTTCAGTAGCTGGGTTTGGGTGCAACAAGTCTTGAACTAAAACCTGGATGTTAGTGGGTTGTTGGGGAGATTAAGCCGTGCGCCGGTGTCACAGAGTGTAGCTGTTTGGGAATCATGGGAAAACGAGATTTTACTGCTTTGAAGGTCGTCAGTCATGGATGGGTCGTCTAGGGTTGTTGGAAGTTCTTTTCGACTAGCTCCTGATGTAGACATCGTAAGAATCTGGGAAAAGCGGGATTGGATCGGGAATGACGGGGAGACATGGGCTAGCGCTCTGGCGTTCAACGGCACGGCCGTGCTTGGGTGGTTTCACATACCATATTGAGTCTATTGAATGAGAAAGAGTTTTCACTGAGAAGAAGTGATAATTTTTTCAGGGCAGCAGAGTGAGAATTTGGGGTCTTGTGTGCAGTGCGGTTTTCGTTTTTTTGTGTGGCCTCGAGCCACTGGTTTTGTATGGAGAAGTGCGCTTTTTACTGTCTTGTGTGTGCGCACGGAGGAGAAACATTTGGTGAGGATGCACGGGTTTTTACGAATCACGTGTCGGTGTGACTGTCTTTTTCCAACACAACCAGGCGAGTCAGGCCCCAGAAATAAGGCCTTTTATTAAGGCGAGAAAATAGGGTTGTCTCATTTAGCGCTTTTGGTAATATCATCGAAATTCATGAAATTCGGGCCGTGGCGCATGCGAGTGGCTGCGAAAAGTGTCTCAGAAGATGGTTCGTTAGCAGTGATGAAAGGTTGATAAATTAAGCGTTTTGGAGCTCGACTTCTATCAAATACGTAAATACGCTGGTACACGTAGAAGGCCATGAAATTGGGGGAAAGTAATAAGCTCAAGTTCTGGTGTAGGTAATGTGCATCTCGTACCGCTTTATCTCCTATGATATAGGACTCAGTCTTAGGTATTTAGATTCTGTTCATAACATATCAGAATCACCAGATGTGAGGAAGAGAGAGATCATAAAACATCTGAAAAACACTTAGGACACGAATAGGTCAGCGGATCGTAAATGACCTATTTAGGACTCGTCCTCTAAGACGATATAGAGCTCTTACACTTGCCCAATTCTTCACTCAAAATATCATCAAAGGGACCGCTTTTTTAAATTGTTAAACATGAAGATATTTTTTCCTAAAGAACCGCTAAACTGTGGAGGGTTTTTGCTCAAGAAACTCTTATCATTGTGATGTAGCTTGACGCAGACCGATTGTGTCTCAGATTCCATACACAATTATGGATGTTCCCAACTGAACAATGTAATGCCTTCTAGAATGCTTCAAAACGTGGCATAACACTTTAAATCGCCGTATCATGGTTCGTTCGAACGCTACTTCGTCGTCGTTCAAATAATCATCAATTCACTTGTAAACGAAAAGTATAATATTGGCCAAAATTCCAGACATCCTAACAGCAGCCAGCTCGGCATCCATCAGAACCAAACTCCAAAAGGAGCCAAAGCCCTGGAAATCTTCTCTTCGCTGCGCTGCATGTACTTCGCTATCAAGCAACTATATAAGATAGGAACTATAAAAGATAGATAAGTATTAAGCTTTCTCAGACCCAAGGCAAACCCAAACACACGATTGAAAATCTATACGGCTTTACTGACTTTTTGATATTACGCAATCGGTGTGGGTCTGGCCTCGGTCTGCTGTTTCAGGTAACGCTGACTCTATGTTCTGCTCTAGCTCCTCGTCCCTTCGTCGGTCTTTGCACACGTTCGCAACAGCCCTTTCTCAAAGTATTTACATTTGTCTCTGGCTGCAAAGTTGGGCGAGGGCATAACACTGGGCTGCGACAGTTCAAGTCGTGAGCAGCGAAAATCCAAAAGGCAAAAAAATAAAAAAAATTCTGACGTTCGTAAAATGGATGCATGTAAAGAATGACTGGATTAGTCTGGCTTGCCAGCTCACGGTTGTAAAAGCGGCATTGGGGCTAAAATACACGGCTTCATGGTTGTGAAGCCACAGCAGATAAAAAAACCAAGGATAAAAAAATAAGACGGCACGGTGAGTGAGCTCAACTCCAACATCGTAAGAAACATCATCATCAATTCTTGCAATGAAAGCTGTCCTAAAAGTGGATCAGCCGATTAGGTGCGGAGTCGCTTACTTGGAGCCGCGCTTGGCTTTCCTTGGAGGGGTGACCGGTCTGTTGTTGCCGACACTGTTTGGAGGAGGGTAACGTGGTCTTTTGTCTGCTGGTTTCAAGATCTGGAAAGAGCATAGTAAACTCTCATCGACACTCATCATAGCTCCGGCGTTGTCAAACTCACCACAGTAGTTGGGGGCCGAGAAAAGGGTCACCAACTGTCTCTTGGAGAAGAATTCGTAACCATCTTCCACCACCTGGTGAGCTCTGCATATCAAATCCATGTCGTGTTTTTGAAGGAAGCGGGACACCACGTCGGGTCCGAAGGTGAATGAAACACCACGGTCGTTTTCGGACCAGCCGGCAATGTCCTTGTCGGGATCGGACCACAACAAGTCACAGAGCAATCCCACGTCGGGGATGTCTGTAGGTCTCATGACTCTTCTGATTTGCTCCATGGAGTTCAAGTCTGGGGACAAACCTCCGTGCATGGTGAAGATCTTCTCGTCTATGATGGCGGCAATGGGCAAACAGTTGAAGCAGTCGGTGAAAGTCTTCCATAACTTGATGTTGTACCTTCTCTTGCACTCGTCGTAGAAACCGTAAATACGGTTGATGGAGGCACACTCGTGGTTGCCTCTCAAGATGAAGAAGTTCTCTGGGTATTTGATCTTGTATGCCAAGAGAAGACAGATGGTCTCCAAAGACTGTTTACCTCTGTCGACATAGTCACCCAAGAAAAGGTAGTTGGCCTCAGGGGGGAAACCGCCGTACTCAAAGAGACGCAATAGGTCGTAGTATTGGCCGTGGATGTCACCACAGATCTTGATGGGGGCCTCCAACTCTAACAAAATTGGTTGTTGGATGAAGATTTCTCTTGCTTTGGTGCACAAGTAGCGGATTTCGTGTTCAAGGAGGGTCACCTGCTTGCCGGGTCTGGACCCTCTGACCTCCAACAATCTGTCGACGATGGAGTCGATGTCGGCTTCCTGGTGTTCAGCCATGGAAAGGGGTTTTAAGCTTGATTTATGGGTTTGTAAAAGCCACCTGGAGGAAACAGGGGATTATGCTGGGAGATGAGTTTTTTTAAGGAGGGCAAAAAAAAAACGCTGGCTGGACGGTGCTGGCGTGCTTTTCTTTCCTTGGCTGGATTTGGTGGGAGGAATAAAAGGTGGTGTCAGCGAAATGAGAATGGGAAGGCAAAAAAAATAAAAAAATTATGTGCTCTACCGATATTGTATAGTGAGAAAAACAAATCTGGGAAAATTGGGCAGTGTCTATTGACAGCGCACTTTTTCTGAAGACCAGGGGGTGAACGCCGCGACATTTGTTGCTATGGATCACGTGAGTGGGTCCTCCAGTCTGGCTGCTAAAACTGCTTTCCCGTGCCTCAGGGTATTTCGGAATAGGGGGATTTGAAATCAGCAGCGTCAATTGATCATATCTCGATGGAAATTTTGTTGAAAAGACGCGAAAATTGGTGTTTTTGATGAGGGCTACGAGCACTGAGGTAGCAGTCCGGATAAGAGAGGTGCGGATAAGAGAGGTGCACAAGCTGGCAAAATTGCTCCTGGATGGCCCAGGCGGTCTATTTTCATCTCCGGTAAAAGCCGATCAATTATGCGAATGTCAACTTTTAAATTCGAATGTTGACGAGTTCCCTGAAATTTCCGTGTTTCGCAACCACAAAGCAACCGAGGTTCAATGGGAAACGCGTTGCTATTTTTTGCAGCAAAAGATGAGGGAAAAATGTCGCGGTTTGAACGCCCATACTGAATTCAAAACAGCTCCATTGATCCGCCCTATGGCCTCATTCTTGTCATGCGGTTTTATCTGAAACCGACGTGATCCGCTTGCGGCGCGCGACATTCACGACATTGCTTCCTGGGCAAAAACTTGACTCACCGCGTCACGTGCTGCACTTTTCGTGAATGTCCATACATAAGCCAGTTTGTTCGATTCACCGAGCTAAAAATAGATAAATGGCACCTCAAGGGCTTCCTTCGATATAAGGCTTTGAAAGTTTCAAAACCTACGCTGCATGAGCACAATGCTGCCGCCCTTGTGCGGCTGCAAACCGCCCGGAACAGCCTTAACATAGAAGCGAACCTTCAGAAATTCGAACTTTATGATCTAAATTTTTCAAGATTTGTAACGTGATTGTTTGAATTATGTTTTATTTATCTTTTCTCATCTTTAAGCCTCCTTCTTCCCTCTGACGATAAACCTCGGGTCAGCATACCGCGATGGTAAATCGCATCCGTACATCTACGTACCAGTCTTATCTATGAGCCAACCTCCATTTCCAAACGAGTACGCTAAAAGACTCGTAGGGGCTTCTGATGGAAAAGCCTGTATTGTTTGCTTCAAGCCGACTAGCGTTGTGCTACTAGCTGCTAACAAAGCCGACTTCTTCTATGTCTGTGGCTCCCATCTTAAGGATGCTTCATTTGCATCGCCGGTGCATCCTGAAAAGTACAACGAATTGCTAGAAAAGCGAAAGACCCAGGAGAAAGCTCTTGTTCAGGCTCGTGAAAAAGTCGAGCTCAACAAGCCTTATGCGTGGGATAAGCTTGTAAGCTGGGGTAAGAAGGACTCAAAGAAGGATGACAAGGACAAAGATGAGCCCTCCAAAGAGACCTATGACTCGATGGTGGAGAAGCTCGAACAGGCAAAGAAAGACCTTGCGGAGACAAACGACGCAATTGCAGCATTTGACTTTAAAACCTTCAAATTAGATAAGGACATGTACAAGGGCCGTGTCAATAACCATATCCAAGCCAAAGTAAGAGCTGCACGCCAGAAGGAGATGCAGAATCCTTCGTTTTTCCCAACTGCCCGAGTGGAGCACCACAGAAGCCATGATGCTTCTTACATGCTGCCGTAGTTCATGGCCTTCTCGTCAAACCAGTTCTGCCAGTTCAGAAGCTTGTTCTTGAGTGCCAGGCCTCCAAGAAACTCCATGTTGCCCTCCAAAAGCTCGAACTTGAAGGTCTTGGAGCTGCCCATGAGGGATTTCCAAAATTCTCTGGTCGACTCTTCCTTGGAGAATTCTTCCTCGTCGTCATTGTCAATGCCAGATCCTCCACGAGCCAGGCCCTTGGCGCTGAGCTCCTCCTGGACAAGCTTGGAGATTTCTTCTTCGATCAAGCTCTTGACCTTAAACACTGGCTTGGTGTCAAACAAGTCCTGCTTGTTAATAGCGAATAGATAATCGACACCCATTGGGGTTTTCTCTGTAATGCTCAACAAGTCGTACAAGAGCTTAGCGATAGCAGCGACCTTTTCCTGGCTGAGACTGGCACTGGAAGAGTCAATGACGAAAATGACGCCCTTGACGTTTCTGACTGTGACGTCTTCATTGATCAATTTGCGCAAAAGCTGGGAGTACTTCAAGTGGCCCGGCCAGTCGATGAATTGGTAGTCCTTTAGGATAGCAGGATTGCTGAAAGGAATGGAGATCTTACCGTAGTTGGCCTCCAACGACGAAATCGTGCTGACAGGCTGAATGTCCTGTAATTTGTAGAAGACAGACGTCTTTCCAGCTCCATTGGCACCCACTACCAAAAAAGTGGGCTTATTGTAGGGTGATTTGGATTTTCCTACCGCCACTTGTCTTCCTTGAAGGCTGAAGACCACAAGAAAGATAACGAGCCCGACAACGGCCGTGGCAAGAATGAGCTGCACTGAATCCATGGTGGTTGGTGACTTTTTGGTACGAAGTATCTACTGCGAAGACATATCTACACCGGTACACCATTTTGCAACCAATTTCCAGGTGACTGGATTTCACCAGATAGACAGGTTTTGGGGATGGAGGGGTCATTTTGGTGGAAGCAGATGACCCATTTTTGAAGAAGGTGGCCAACCTGGGTAGAAATTTGTGTGTGGTGGAAGTTGGAGTGGCTGAATCTGAATAGTCGCAGGTGATGTTGATGAGGATAGTATCAATCAAACTCGAAGGACGGCACCATAGTCAAGAAAGGAAGATAAATAAGCTTTTTACTAATTTTCCACTATTTGCTATTAAATAACGAAAGGGATTTTGTACTTCCACTCCTCTAGCGGGTCTTAAACCTCCAGAACTCAAGTGAATCCTACTATACCATGAGCCTATCATAAATGTATCGAATTGGCCAATTTTGGTTCTTCTCTATTTTCACAACCAAACTGCGGAATGAAGCTATTTCGCCACTTCACTCAACTTTTCCAGAATCCGTGAATCCATTGCTTCTGCTCACTCTCACCAACCACTTCTCTAAATCAACCTCCTACAACACCCTTCAGTACAGGCTCGGCCCGCTCTATCTTGCGCTATGTACACTAGGAAACTATCGTGCGGCCATACTCACGGGCCTTCTGCGTCAACAACTGGTCCACAAGCACCAAGGCAGCCATGGACTCCACAATTGGCACAGCTCTAGGGGTAACCGAAGGGTCGTGTCTACCCTTGGCAGCCAAAACACCGTCCTTTCCCTCGTAGGTAGCGGTAGGCTGCTCCTGGGAAATGGTGGCAGCGGACTTGAAGGCCACAGAGAAGTAGATGTTCTCACCGTTGGAGATACCGCCCTGGACACCGCCAGAGTTGTTCGTTTTCGTTCTCAAGCGCTGAGAATCGCCGCAGAAGTGGAAGGCGTCGTTGTGGGCAGAACCGGGGATCCTGGTGCCCTCGAAACCAGAGCCAAACTCGAAACCCTTGGTAGCTGGCAACGACATCATGGCGTGGGCCAAGGTGGCCTCCAACTTATCGAAGCAAGGCTCGCCCAAGCCGATAGGGCAGTTTCTGATCACACAGGTGACCACACCGCCAATGGAGTCCTTGGCGTCTCTGTACTTCTCAATCACCTTGACCATCTCCTCTCTGATAGAGTCGTCGGGGCATCTGACAGGACCCACGCCGTCAACCTGGTCCCTGGTGACGGTATTAAGCAAGCTCTGGAACTTCTCGTTCTGAGGGTTTCTGTCCATAGCCACCTCGCCAATGGAAGACACAAACGCAACGATCTCCACGTTGTTGGCCTTGGTCAAGATCTTCTCGGCAATAGCGCCTGCAGCAACACGACCAATGGTCTCTCTGGCCGACGATCTGCCGCCTCCAGAGGCCAGCTTCACTCCGTACTTCTGAATGTAGGTGTAGTCAGCATGAGAAGGTCTGGGGTACAAGTCCATCTCCAGGTAGTCGTGGGGTCTGTGGTCCTGGTTGAGCACCAACATACCGATAGGAGAGCCCAAGGTCTTGCCGTTTTCGGTACCCGATTGGATGTGGACTTGGTCCTTCTCGTTTCTTGGGGTTGAGAGCTTCAGCTGGCCTGGTCTTCTTCGACTCAACTGGGGCTGGATGTCATCCTCGGTCAAGTCCAAGCCTGGAGGGCAGCCGTCCACAATACAGCCTACCAGCTTGCAGTGGGACTCGCCGTAGGTGGTCACTCTGAAGATGTTTCCGAAAGACGACATGGTTGTGGTTGAAAAGTTGCATCTTTTTTTCGCATACCATATCGCGCTGAGTCACAGGCTGCATGGGCAGAAATGAAGAATGGATGATTCGGGTGAATGTGATTTGGGGAGGTGATTCGGGGAGGTGATTTTTAATGTAATCGAGAACAAGCTGTATTGCTTTAGATGGCTTCTTGATTTCGATGGAAGGTAGGTGGATACATGGGTGTGTCAGGGCACATGGCGTGATAACGATAGCATATTGACAGGACAGGATCAGCGGTGCGATGGGTGCAAAAACGGTTAATCAGAAGGCGGTTTCGACGGCCGTCGTATGATGTGAGATAATAACGGGGCACTTCTGGCTCATCTGTTATTGCGAGGATAAAATTTTTTTGTATGGGGATTATGGACATGGCTGCTAGGTGGGCCCCACATTGACCGTAGAATTCTCACTGACATGGATATTTGTATTCCCAGCGTTGGTTTAAAGGTTACGTTGCATTACTCCACGATGTCTTTTAGAAGAATCTCTTTTTGGTGATACATCAGTGCTATGTAAACAAGTGCCCCGTAGACCCGCAGATATTCTGTAAGCAACTCGAAGCTTCCTCTTGGTATAGCGGCCCGCCACCGTTTCCAGACTCTTAATACAATCATCTGATTTGAGCTATCATCCCTGCTTTTGCTTGCATACTAAGATGCTTCTCTTTGCATCCCTCTCGCTGTATGTGGGTACATCGGTGATGGGCAAATGAACAGCCACCCAGGACCCAAAAGATATAGAACCCCCAATCATCCCCGAATCCAACCAATTCTACAAATCCCACAATTCCAGTTCTCTCTTCCCCATTGTGCCATTTTTACGGCTAATTCAGATTACACATTTTGCATGCTTCCCAGAGATCCACTATGATAGTGCGAATTTGCAACCATTTCCCAGCCCATCCTCAATGTCTACACAAGAGACATTTCCAAAAAACCACAAATTCCCATCTCAAACACCAAACAACAAGCTCAAACCTCCAACCAGCCAATTACCCCCAGCAAAACAGAGGACAAGTCACCCAGACAGGATCAGCAGCTTACTGGCTCCTGGTCACCACATTCCAATGCACCGGACCGCCCGATGGAACATCCACCAATAACAGCCCAGGTCAACGCTGAAATTCCAGCCGTAGTCGCCGTTCTACAATGGGCCCCACATTGTAAGCTTTAGGCCTGGGGCCTGCGCTAGACAATGCGTGTAATGACCCAGATTGGGAAAAAGGTAAACACACCCAGCTACACCAAATGGGGAGTATGACGGAAGCCGTAGATGAGCAGAAGACCGTTAGACTACAACTACCAATGCTTCTTTGGGTGCTAGCGTTTGCGCTTGTGCCATGCTGGGCGCAATGGGCCGCCTACTACTCGTTTGATGAAGGCAAGGTATACATGAGGTTGAAGAACGACGACATTGTGCCGTTGAACTTCTCCATCACAGGGTTCGACGATCTTGAAAGCTCCCTGGGCAAAAAGTCTCTTGATTTGACCAGCGGCCAGAGCATATCGGCCATAGCGTCGCCGCCTGAAAACTCGACGGTGTTTCTACATCAGGGCACCTTGTACGCATTCAAAGCGCTGGACCAGGAAAGCGACTACGATGTTTGTGGAGACGGCATTTTCCAGCTTTTGGGCTACGACGAGGATAAAAATGAATGGGAGCCTGCCACGGACGATATGACCTTCAGCGATGTCTCCGATGTGTCGTACTATGAAGGCTCGACCATCTTGACCAGTCCAGGTTCCAACAACATTTACATCTACGGAGGCAGATGCCCTACAAGCGGTAAAGCCACAGACAGACTCCTTTCGTTTGACATGGAGAAATTCAGCTTTTCCAATATCACCACTTCCACCAAACCCCACGGTTTCTATGGAGCCACTGCCCAATGGGCTCCAAATCCACAAAACTCGTTGGTCATAGGTGGAAGGTCCAACGACGGCTGGCTCAACATGTACCAATTGGCGACGTGGAATTACGATTCCGGCTGGTCGTTTCAGGCAGTGGAGAGAAACAGCTCATTCAGCGTCAATTCCAGGCTCAACCCTATGGTGTTGCCCATATTCTCTCCATTGGCCGACAAGGATTCCTCGACTTTTGAAAAAACATACAGACCGCTGGCATTGTTGCTTATTGGTGGAGACGACTCAAAGGGCCTTGCTTCGCCAGAATGGGCCAGATTGAAAGTGGATACTAATACCTGGGCATGGGAGCCTGTGGATACGGATATCGAAATTGAAGATGTCATTGGTGCCGCTGTTCTTTTTGAAACTTTGGTTTTGATCAGAGACAGCGATACGAAAAAGAGAGACGGCTCAGGCTACACTGTTCTGCTCTACGATATCAACAACCAGTTTGAGCAGGTCAAGTCGCTTTCAGACAACACCAAAAAGACAGAATCTTCTGACAGCGGCTCTACTCTGACGACACAAAAAGCGCTTATTGGTACCTTGGTCCCCGTTGCAGCATTGGCTATGGCCGCTGCTGTTGGCTTCTACCTCTGGAAACGCAAAGGCTCCAATCAACCAGAACGTGAAGATGTTCTTGACGCTTTTGACTACCAGCTTGGCCATTTCAGAACACGCTCTGATCTTCCAGCAGACGTGCCTCCTCCACATGTCCATCGCCGTTTATCGGCCAGCAGCGAGTCTACTCTAGAAGCCGCTTCGATCGATTCCTGGGTGAAAAAGAGACAAGAGTACGATTCCAAGAGACAGCGTACAGTGAGAAGACACAGTTTCCTTGGGCTGAACGAGACGCTCAACAACATGCCCGAGGTTGACGACGAGTCAGAGACATCGGAGCCACCGGAAATGAAACAAGTTCTGCTCGATCCAGCTCTTCCTGCTCGTGTGCGCCAGCTTCGAAAAAGCTTCTCTTTTACAAAAACACCTCCAGCGCTGCCTGGCCTCAAAAAGAGCACCAAAGGCGGCTACATGGGTATTTCTGACCTACCGGCTGGCGACGAACAGGAAGAAGGTTCTTCTTGTGACGAAGCCATGGACGTTCAGGTGTTGGTGAGTTCCAAGAGGAAGAGCGTGCTTCGGGTGGTGAATCCCGACGACAAGGATGACGATTCCATACGGCAGCGGACGCCGTCGAAATGATGTAACAGTATAGAGCCGAGCGGCATTGTATCAGTATTAATGAGTTTAGGATTGGGCGGTGTAGAATGGGCAAATGAGGGTCCCTTTTACGGCCTCAAAATCTTATCATAAATGGAAGACACCCTATGCCATAAACGGTTGAAAAGCGATTTTTGCATATCGCAAGAAATGGTGCAAAAAGACGCACGCTCTCTATCTATCTTTAGATAAGTGCATGTCAAACGGGTGGCTTGGTAACTGCAGTTCCGCAAACGGCCGGCCCTACCGTAAAAGTTTAATTTTGCCACGGCACTTTGTGGTCAATTTTGGTTTGGAGAAATGACGATGGCATTTTGGAAATCCTGTCTTTTGTGAAGTGTGTGTTTTGAGCACAAGGACCAGGGTCGGCCGAGACAGAAACGGAATATGCTGGTGGAGTTATCAAAGAATCAAGTTGGATAGATTCCTTCGGTTTTCAGCAAATTCGACCAGTCCTCCAAACCACGTTTAACTTTTGGCCAGTCTAGCCGGCATTGTAGAATTGAAGGTCGTCAAAGTGTGGTCCAGCGCCGCAGCCGTTCGAGATAAGCGCCTGAGACAGCAAACGAACACTGTGACACCAAAATACGACGGACCGGGAAATTTCCATTTTTTGAAGTTCATGGGAAAATTCAAAATATTACTTCCCTATAATTGGATGCTCCAGACAGAGACCGTGGCTCCGAGTAGACGAGCACAGCGGTGCTTATCGGCATTACACCAGACGATAAAAATCCCAAAAAACCCCAAATAGGCCTTCTTCCCGTAGCCCCAAATATACTTAAACACTAAAATCCCCCACCATGTTGGTCATCGCCGCCGGCCCGGAACACACACTTATGTGCACCGACTGGCTTATCTGGGGTGATCCTCACACCACCACAACTACTCCCTTCTTCCCCAGAACAGAGCCACGATATCTGCCGCTTACAAAAAAAAAGTAAAAGCACTACCCACCGTCTACCCCTCCCCGTCCCAGGCATTCCTTCCATCCACCTTCCATTCCATTTAGCCGCCTGTGGTGCATCCTGCACTATCAATCCAGAAAAGCTTTCTCACCAGCTACTCGGTTCCAAAGTACCCTTTCATGCCCCATTGCCCACGGCCTGATAATCACAGATGAACGGCAACACCGCCTCTCCCGAAGGCCTATTCCGGGATGACGACCCCGAGGCGCCGAGGCACGACCCCACTGAGGAAATGAACCACAACATCGTCAAACCAGACTTCTCCGACGGCTTGCTTCAGATGGACCAGGAGCTTCTTAATTGGAACATGCCGGGCGCTTTCAAGGCCGACATGGATATTGACAACAGCCCCGGCATGGAGAACGGCATGTACGTTGATTCCAGCACGGGTCTTGGTGATCCGATGAAGGAGGACGACTTCATGCAATTTGTCCGAAACGATCCTCCCCAGCAGTTCCAGCAGTACCAGGAGAACAACAATCAGAGCAACAACGAAAACACACAGCAGCAGGGCCAGTTCGACAGAGATCCGCTAATCAGCTTCGAGGATCAAAACTACCTAGAAACACCCTGCGACGGCTCCGTGGAGCCCCAGGTTTCTGGAATCAGCCCGGCAAGAGCCTTTGGCAGCATAGTGGGCGATAGCCCGCAGGCCCCGAGCAGCGTTGATTTTAGCTCGATCCCTAATCGAACCCCAGAGGCCGAGGAACAGCCCGTCAGGTCTCGTCGTAATACACAGAGCCACAGAACGTCATTTTCCGCCGTTGGCGACTTTCTGCCTTTGACAACAACAACGTCTTTGACGCCTTCCATGAACTCCATGTACCTGGCGCAGGCCTCCTTCTCCGCAAATCAGTTCCGACTGCTGTTTGACCAGCCTCCTTCGCTGGTCCACAGACCCTCGTTCGACGTATACCCCCGTGGCCGTGTCTCCATTGATAGCCAGGGCTCGAGCATCAACCCGCCCTCACGGAATCCTCGGTCGTTCTCGAGTTATATCCCATTTATGGGAGAGAGAGACAGAGACCGGAAACTGCCTGACTGGGGCCAACAACCGCAGAGCAGGCATCTCATAAGGAGCATATTCAAGTCGAACAACGAGCAGCAAGAGGATGATCCAGCACCGTTTTTGGCGGATGTCCTTGTAAACCAGGAAGAAGAGGGCGAAATGAATGATAACCCAGTCCCCACGAAGAAAGCCAGGAGGACCCGCATGAATTTGTTCAACAGATTCAAGACCCAACGCAACCAGCCATTTGAACCACAGCTGGATCTTGTAAAACATGAGACCAACAGCTCGGTGGCCTCCAGCGAAAGAGACGACAGCTCTCACCAGAACAGCGTGGCACAACCTTCGCTACAAAATTCAGTCAAAACAGAAAATTCGTCAAACCTGGGTAACGCACAAATGTTCGATTCATATCCACCTCCGGAGCCCGACTATGCCTCGTTGTTTGAGAATATGGGCAAGAGACGGCTCGGAGGCATGAAAAACAAGAAGACAACAGTGAAGCAGGAGCCTGAATCAGGAGTCACCTCCTCTGTCTCCGCTACAGAAAAATCCTCCTTAAACAACACCAATCGCCTGAGTGCTGAGCAGTCTGGTGATTCTCGCCTGGCAAATGATGTATCTCTATCACAGCATTCTTCAATTTCCGAGGAAACTGCTATGGGAGGCTCGCTGTCATTTGCCAATGCATCGAAACGTATCCTAGGTCTGAGACTACTAAAGAAGAAAGCTCAACAGTCCAAAGCAGAGCAGCAGCAACAGGCTGACCTTGTTGAGATTGATCTTCAATCGCTTGATCTTCCCCCAGACACCGAAATCATACCCAAGATCAATCCAAAGGTCCGCACAAGAGGGCGTAAAGAGAATAAAGCAGCCGACTTGGTTGACCTGTCGAAGATCTTTGTGTGTACTTACTGTCTGAGAAGATTTAAGAGGCAAGAGCATTTGAAGAGGCACTTTAGGTCGCTTCATACATCAGAGAAGCCTTACGAATGTCCGACATGCCAGAAGAAATTCAGTCGAACAGATAATCTCAACCAGCACATCAAGGTGCATAAGCAGGAGGAGGAAGAGGCGGCAGCTCGTGCCGCTGGAATCATAAAAGAGGAAGACACTGAGGTGTAGCATGAGAAACGCATATACGGTAATGGAATCAATTGGAGTTATGAATGGAGCGTGGGTGTAGTTTCATTTTAACTGATGATTATATAGGTGGTAGACAATATCACCTCGATGTTACACAAAATTCGGTTGACACTTTTTTACGATGTGGCTACCTCTACGTCTCCATCTTATCGTGTACATCAATTGGTACAACCCTATATCCTATACAAAGTGCTGATCACGAAACGAAACGCCAAAAAGAAAACAAAAGTCGAAGTAAAAAAAGAAAGTCGCAGAATATCAAAAACTCGTTAATGCTCCGGAGCAAGCCCGAGGTCCTCGTTCAACCGATTCGATGTAAGTCCGTCCAAGACAGTTTCTCCACGCCGCTGTTTGGTAGGGCTAGGTTTTGAAACACCTTTTGAAGAGCCACTCACCTCAGTGTCTGTGAATTTTTGGCAAATGCCTTTATTCAAATGCCTCTTGTAGCCCTCCACCCTGGTGAATTCCTTGCCACAGCTGCACTTACAATGTTTTGCAACCAAATGCAGTTTGACATGTCTGTTGAGATCGTGCTGACGAACAAACGATTTAGGGCAGTAGGAGCAGGTAAAAGGTCTATCACTTAAATGCGTCTGGATGTGGGAGCGGACATTGTATCTTCTGGTGAACTTCTTGTTGCAACCCTCGTACTTGCAGGTGAAGATTTTATTTTCATCCGGACCTTCCCAATACCTATCGAGCTCGCCAGGAGGAAGCAAAGAGGTCTTTTTTATGACACGTTTAGGAGAAAGGTCCTGGATGGCCTTGCGGACGTCGGTGGAAGCTTTGGAGTTTGGAGAGATGATGGGACTCCACTCGAGGGTGATTTTGTTCTTGTTGGGCGTGAAGGGCGTGGCGTTGTTCTTCAAGGGCGTAAGCTGCACAATGGTTTCGTTGACATCGGTGGTGCTATCGTCAGCTTCGGTTCGGTTGTACTTGAGCGGAGATGATTTGAGCAGGCGAGGTTCGTTGCGGAAAGGCAGCAGCTGGAAAGGCAGCGATTTGATGACGTTGGGGTCCAGATAATTGTCCGTGCCGTCCAGGAAAAATTGGGGGTTGTAGTTGTTCTTTTCGTAAGGAGAGGAATGGAGCGGAGGACCCTGAGGAATCACTCTGTGGGGCGACGAATACAAGCCGTTCTGCGGTAGAGGAGACGCCGGTTCTGGAGAAGAATATTCGTTGCTTGTGGCTTGGCTTCCTGGAGGCGGAAGGTAGACGTTCATGTTCATGTTCATGTTGAGGTCCAAGTCCAAGTTGGGGTCGATTTCCTGCTTCATTTTACGCCTAGGCTGCTGAACCGGGATTGGAACATACTTGGGCTTCCGCAGCGGGCTTTCTAGAAGCGATTCAATTTCTTCAGGGTATGGCTCTTCTTCCTTGGCCAGAATGTGGATGGGCTGGCTCACCGAGGGCATTTTCTTGAGGTAGTCAATGGCGAATTCCTCGTCTTCAGGGTCGGGAGGAAACTTGTATTGTTTTGGCGTGGCGCCCGTAACGATCAAGTCGTCCTCCTTCTTGGGCTCTTCATACTCATCGTTCTCGTTGATGTGGACAGGCTTGCACACCTCCAAACCTTGGGAAAAGTTGAAATCAAGATGGTCGTTGGACATAGGAGGAGCCTTTTTGCGGGCCAACTGCACAGGCAGAATCAGCGAAGCAGCCTCCAGTGGAGCCCTCTGGTGTCTTAGAATGTCGTTGATGCCGTTGATGGAGAGTTCTCTGTTGTGGTCGGCAAAACCAAAAATGGCGGTGCCGCTGGGCTTCTTAGCATGTTTGAAAGGCGAGTTGAGGTGGTGCAATTGGGCCGGCTGGGGTGGACCAGATGGCACATCCAAGTCCTGGAGAGTGGTCAATGCATCGTTGAAAAGATTGTCAAAGTTCTTGTACTCCAGAAAGTACTGGCTGAACTCCTCCTCTGGCGCAGGGGTCCTGGGCTTCGGAGCAAAGCTGAGGTCGTCCCAGTAGGGATCCATATGGGAAGCTGGTGATAGATGGCAGGAGGATTTGGAAAATTGTCGTTTTGCAGCCAAACGGAGAGGGTACGGCTGAAGGGGTGGAGGAAGAAAAGTGGTAGATGGGGGAAGTTCTCAGGAAGAAGGCGGTTGCAGCGATTGCTAGATCGAATATCGCAGCCTAATCGAGCTGTTTTCTCCATGGGCAGTTTAAATCTCTGATCGTTGGACAGTATTACTCTTTTGGGCCGAGACATAAACACATCAAAACGCAAGTGATACATATATGCCGGTGGTTGCGAAGAGGCTGCCTCACCCACCTGTTATTGTAACGGCTGGATTGGGTAACAGGACCCTTCCTCTGGTTCTCTACAGCTGCACATTTATCTGTTTTGCTTGTTACTTGCTCTAGTTAGTGATGCGCTTAGGCAGACAACAACATCTTTCTAGGGTCCTCGATGTACTCCTTGATAAGCTTCAAGAAGGTGACGGCTTCACGGCCGTCCAACACTCTGTGGTCGTAGGTCAATGCAAGGTACATCATGGGTCTCGACTCAATCTGACCGTTCACAGTGACAGGTCTCTGTTTGATGCCGTGCAAGCCCAAGACGGCGGTCTGGGGCAAGTTGATGATTGGGGTTCCGTACAAGGAGCCAAACACACCTCCGTTGGAGATGGTGAAGGTGCCACCGGTCATGTCCTCAAGGGTCAACTTACCGTCTCTGGCCTTCTTGGACAACTTGGTGATCTCCTCCTCGACGCCCAAGATGGAAAGAGACTCGGCGTTTCTCACCACCGGCGTAACCAAACCCTTTGGTGTGGCCACGGCAACGGAAATGTCCATGTAGTCTCTGAACACCATGGTGTCGTTGTTCTCGATAGAGGCGTTGACAGCTGGGATCTCCTTGGAGGCAAGGGCAGCGGCCTTGGAGAAGGCACCCATGAAACCGAACTTGACGCCGGTCTTGTCCAACACCTCGTCCTTGTACAACTTTCTCATCTCCATCAAGTTGGACATGTCAACCTCGTTGAAGGTGGTCAAGGAGGCGGCGGTGTTCTGGGACTCTTTAAGACGCTCGGCGATTCTCAATCTCATTCTGTTCATCTTGACTCTCTCCTCGCTTCTGGCGAAACCGCCGAAACCGGCTGGCTCCTTAGACTCCTTCTTTGGCTCCTCCTTCTTAGGCTGCTCTTTCTTAGGCTCCTCCTTCTTAGGCTGTTCCTTCTTCTCTTCCTTTGGCTCCTCCTTCTTCTCCTCCTTTGGCTCCTCCTTCTTTGGCTCTTCCTTGGGCTCCTCCTTCTTGGCACCGCCCTCTGGGGCAGCACCCTCCTCGATCTTGATGATCTCCTGGCCAACCTCCACGGTGTCTTCCACGTTGGCTAAAAGCTCGGTGATGGTACCGGCAACTGGAGCGTTAACCTCCACATCGATCTTGTCGGTCTCAATGGTAGCAACAAGCTCGTCCTGCTCCACATACTCACCGACTTCCTTGTTGAAAGCAGACAAGGTACCCTCGGTGATGGACTCGGCCATCTCAGGCACCTTGACACCAGTGGAAGCCAATCTCTTGAAGGTGGTGACAGGAGAGGCGAATCTGGCATTCTGGACAGTCAAGGCTGGAACCTTGGTGTGCAAAGCGGAGGCCTGGGACACTCTCAAACCGGCCACGGCGGCAGAGGACACCCTTTTGGCAACGGGTATACGGCGTAAGCTTGATCTGAGGGATCTGGACAACATGTTTGTTGAAAACTGGGGATAAAGAATAGGAGAGATTAGTAAAGGGTGGTTTTTTCGAGATGTAGCAGGGCCCGCAATTATATCCAGGCTCCGAGAAGCGCCGGGTTCAGCCAATAACCTGCCGCGAATTGCCCAAGCGAGACCCCCTCCATTGAAACAGGTGAAGAAGTCAATTTTTTGTGATTTGTTGATTTTCGTTTAAGTTGGCCCATTTTGTTAGGGACGGCCCTGGTTGGCTGTTTCGTCCTTCCGGGGTTTGTGGGGGGCGTGTGCACATTGAAATTCCGGGGCAGGCTCCGAAAGGACGCTACATAGTAGTAGTAAGACGTGGGCCCTAGCTCGGGTTTGACTCCGACGAACCCCGATCTGACTCCGACTGGACTCCGGTTCCTGCTGAAGTCCGACTACGGTGCTGTTTCAGAGATGTTCCGAAGGGCTGGCAAAAAAAAAAAAGCCTGTTTATATGCCGTACCGGCGATTCCGACGAGCCCACCCCGCCGGATCTAGGGTGTGAAGAACCTCACGGGTGATGTGTATGACAGTTGACGTGCGAAAAAAAAGTCATCCTGAGGAAAAGTAAAAAGAAAGCCCTACGCGGGGGTCGAACCCGCAACCTTGAGATTAAAAGTCTCACGCTCTAGCCATTGAGCTAGCAAGGCAGTTTATAAATTGCAGGAGTGCAGAGTGAATATATGGTACGGACTGGATGGGAGTCATGGAGTGGCTTTGGAAGTCCAGCAGTAGATAAAAGAAGGTACTGGAAATATGCTGGCCCGGCAAAAAGGCCGTATATACCCCGGGGGATGAGATATTCAATTTCGAGGTATCCAACGCCTTCAGACTAAAAATTAAATTCTGTCAGTCAGAGAACCAGAAGAGAAGTGCCCGTTGGGGCTTTTTGCATTCTATATAATGTTCATGTGTGGTGGTGGTGGGCTGTATCGGCCTCACCCTTCTGAAGAATGGCTGCGAATTAGTATGACGAGCAATGAAATAATCACAATACTTACCTGCTGAGCAGTAAAGATAGCAATCTGGAATGCAGGGATGACATTAAGCGGTGGCAAGGTGCCCCTTGGTTTGTGTGATGGCCCTTGATTTGTGTGATGTGGAGTTCCGTGAGGCAGTGTCTCAGGAAGCAGGTGACCCGGGTGTCATTTTTGGTAGTCAGCAGTCGATGATGAAAGATCACTCAATTGGCTGACTTATGGGAGCAATATTGGGAAGCTTTGTGCAAAGTTGAATCAATCAGGAGAATGATCTCCGGATCGTTTGCACCTTTTGGACGGTACTGGATAAATGTGGACATATGACTTTGGGAAAATAACGTAGATCGAAAAAACAAAATCCACCCTTGAACCAACTTATTTATATCTCCCCGAGGTGCTTGCCCCAGCAAAGCCGCTGGTTATGTTTATTGACATCGACTGTTGATACCAGCCAGTGCGAGTAAACCAGCCAGCATTATCACCAACCTGCTACTACACCCACCAAAACCAGCACAACAGAAATCCAAAAATCAAAACCTACAAAACATATCAAACAAAATTGTTTTAAAAATCAGAGATCAAAGTTAAATCGAAAAATTTCCAACCCACTCTGGTCCACCTCCACCATCAGCACCACCGCCGCACATTTCGCAGCCAATGCACCCCAGACGACACTTTCGCAGCCATTTCGCAACCATGTCTCACCAACCAGCCAGTTGTGATTTTGTCCACCGGCCTGTTTCAAAAAGCAATTTCTGAAAACATTGTCGCTTCTCCGTAGCAGCAGCATTGTGGCCAGCCCCTGACGCCGCCATTGTTTATGTTTATCCAAATCGGGCAGGCGTTAAACCCCAGCCTGTCAAGCTCAAGCAAGGCTGACCTCAACTACAAGACCAGCCATGACGCCTTTGCGGCCTTTTGGAGCCGAAGAAACCAGAGTGGTCAGCGATTTGTCGAGGTTCGAATACGGGAAACCAGAGACCCGAAAACGCTCCAGAAACACCACACCGACTTCGCTTCCGAGTGACTCAGAGGTACTGGAAGCTCCAGTGACAACCGACTTTTACGAACACTACGCTACACTGCTGTTCAGCGAAGAGCCCATACGGCAGTTTGCTCCGTATCCTCCATCAATTGTTGAACAGTTGCCTTACAATACTCCCCACCAGCTACACAATCCTCAACCTCCACCTCTGCCTAAACGGCAGCACTCGTACCTAAACAATCTCCAGCAGTTCAAGATGAGAGAGCAGGCTCCTCCACCGCCGCCTAAAGATAATTTTCAGGATTGGCCCAAGGAGGAATTCGACAAGGATGAGCTTCCTCCCATGAAAGACTCCAGAGACTATATGAAGCAGAGAGACAGCCAGGCCACGGTTGTGGCAGACACGGCTGAAAGAAAAGAGCCAAGAGCGCCAGAAGTCAATCTTCTTGAAAGGGTCATGAACAGACCTGTGCTCACGTTTGGCCCTAAAGATGTTGACCCTTTTGATCCCCAGGGTCCTCGAAACTTCCACTTCACCGCCAGCAACGTCATAGACGTTTTTCAGATCATATTTGGAATCGTCATCATCGCCCTAGCCAGCACGCTAGGCTCCCAAGACCAGAGAATCTCCATTGGCATCTACCGCTACTTTATAGCTGTGGGTGTGATCACCTTGGTGGTTTCCCTTCTTTTCATCACAAAAGCTATAAACTTCGACAGGCGAAACGGCGTTTTTTACTGCCTCTTGGCCTGCGTCCTCACCGGCGTTTCTCTCATATTATCCATCACCAGTGTGGCTACAGACAACAACTGCGCCTCAGATAGCATCTGCCAGATGAGAAAAGCATTGTCGACCTTTGCCATTCTTTCCTTCTTTCTTTGGCTTTGCATGCTTGTGATGTTCCTTACCACATTGTACATTTCTAGAATGAACTTGCTTGAGGATGTCAACTTTGACTACAGCAAGAAAGGCACCGCTAACCCACAATCTAGAGTGCCATCCCACAACGGTCTTCCCCAGTACTACTTGAACGAAAACGGCGACATGTACCCGCTAGACAATCACGACACCCGAGGTAAGCAGAAAATCGTTGTATACGCATAATAGCTAATTCGCACATATACACTTTATTTGCAACCACTCGCTTGTACCCCAGATGCTTTTCTCCTTTTTCTTCTCTATCGCCCTTGCCCTGGGCCTTTTGGTTCCTCCAAAGATCATCGATTCATTTTCCAACTCCAATGCGTTGTCGGTGAATAACGGATTTGTCACTTTCCTTGAACCAGCCTTTTTGGTTCAAGACGATGATGTCTCCATACTATCTTTGGCACGCTACCAAGATCCATCCAGATCAATTCCCCAGCAGTTCACCATCGCCTGCAAGATCAATGCAACGGCGGCTAAATTGCAAACTTTGCACTTGCGGCCTTCTATCTTGGACTCCGATAAGGATATTTCAAACGATGGGGAATTTGTGAAAGAGGTGGCCCAAAAGTTTGTAAAGTTCTTGAATACAAAGATTGGAAATTCAGCTGAGCTCCTACTGGAGAATTTGAAGTGTGAAAGAAATTCAAGAGAGCCAGATATACTTTTCTGTTTGGCCCGCTCTGGCCAGGTTAAAAGAGAAGAACCCGAGGTTTCTGCTCAATTGTTGAACCAGGTTTTTCAAAAAGTCAAACTGGCTACAGAAAGAGTCAGCGATAATGTCGATTTTCTTGCCGACGACCCCAAGGAGTTTTTCGTGAATTTGGACGAAAAATTCGATGACAAAATCTCGGATCTTGCCGACAGGTGGGAAGAAGCAAGCGTGCAGCTCAACGAGGGTATCATATTAAACAATCTTGAGGATGATACCTTAGAATCTGACTCTGACGAAGAGGAAGAAAATAGTGGCTACAACGGTTTCCACGGGCTTCAAGTTGACACTTGAGCCCCGCCTTGGTGTAACTCGTCCTTTCTAAGTAAATTGAATATTTCGTATTGTGAAGCAGATCACATTTTGGAGCCGTATAGATACAGATCGGCTTGTCTGGTGCACTAAACCGGAACAGACAAGTCGATGATGGGGTCATGCAATTCGTTTATGGTTGTTCCACAGCACGAGCTTAGATGTAGCTCGGACTGTGCTGGTTCTGGCGGGAGCTGTTGCCGTAATTGCCTCTGTATGGGGCCTCATCATTGCCGTAAGCCTGGTTCGAGCTGTATTGCGTCTGGAATCCCAGGTAGGCGTTTGTAGAGTTGCCCACGATGGTGGAAGCTGGCTGCTGCGCTTCCGCAGACTCAACACTCAAGGAGTTCTTAGAGAAGCTCTCTGACTCAAATGTATTGCTGTTGCCCTTTCTCGTCTGGCTGGAGTCATCGTCGTAAACGGACTCATCATCATAAATAGGCTTGCCACCATTCTCGTGGCCCTTCATAGCACTAGCTCCCAAGGCAACCAACTCGATGTCGTCGGCGTCTGAAGAGTTTTGCTGAGCACCCTTGTGATGGATACGAGGTAAGAACGAAACCCTGTCGTCCTTCATTGGCTGGTACCTTGTGTCTGGGTTCTTGTACACCAATGCAAGCACACATGTGACGATGGTGAAAAGCAACAAGAACAAAGCGAACACTGCGTTCAACACAAAGTACACCACAGCCATGACGGAAGCCACAACCTGGGGCTGACCAAAAATGTATGAGAAGAACATGAAGAACAATGCGTTAATGGTGTTGATGACGGCAATGGTGATGTTGAAAACGTTTGTTCTCTTGTCCATAAATGGTCTGATCCAGCAAACTAGCACGCAGAAGATAAGTTCGATAGCAAAAATCACCACCGACTGAGCTCTACCCTGTTTCTGCAAAACTGCAATGAACAAGCATTTGAGGAAGGTGTAAATCATGGAAGTAACCACGAACCAGTAGCAATCGGCTCTGAACTGAACGTAAACGAAGCCAAACTTGTTCAAGAACTTGGTGTCACCGAACAAGAGGTAGGCAGGGTTCTTGTGAACTCTGACAGATCTCCGTCCAAACTCAATCACTCTGCCGGCCGAATAGCCAAGAAGGACAATAGTGATGAGGAACAAAAATGCAGCGACAACAACGTAACCCGCCGAATCATGGGCGGTGAATTGCCACAAGCACATGACACATACCTGAGGGAAAGCGATAAGGTAAAGTCTGTACAATGCACCCTTGATAATGCTAGACCATTGCAGTCTGTATTCGTTAAACTTGCCCTCGTTCATGACCTTTGAGCGAATGCAGATCTCGATAATGGCCTTAAAGAACATCATACAAGCAACGAGAACAAAGGCGAAAAAGAATACGAAGATGATGGAAGTCATGAACAAGTCAGTGATCTCGATACCAGCCAAGTAGGACACTCTCTGGATACCTCTCAAAATCAACACCTTGCCACCAAGTTCGGGGTCCTTTTCGTCCGTGGTGTACAATGTGGAGTTCAAGTTGTCAGACAAACCGAAATTGTCGGAATCAATGGAAACGGAGAGACGCTTGTGCAAACGCAAGCTGTTGACCAAATGGTTGTCGTACATGGCCATAGAGATGTACTCGAGAGATCTCTTCATCTTCTGCACGGAGACAGACAAGTAGTCGTTATCCAAGATATCTGTTGGCTTGCCACCAGTGGCCTGTAAGTACCAGTTTGAGATGTCTTGGATGAAGCCCGCACGGATGATACCAAGCGACCACATGAAATTTTGGGACCAGGCGGCAGCAATAGGAGGCACCTTGGCCACGGCCTCCATGGAGGTGATGGCCAAACTCTGGAAGTAGACGAACAAGGACATCGAGTTGGAAGCAATGTGAGCCGCCGTATTCGAGTTACCCATGACTGAGACCACACCGGATGTGATAAGCCCTAGACCTGCGATGGCCGCAATGGGCCACGCGGCGTATTTCGTCTGGACAGTCTTTCCGTTGGAAACCACAGCTTCCACACACGCCAAGGCGTCATCGGTGTCCTGGTCGTAAAGAGCAATCCTGACTCTGGCGTCGATGTCGGGAATGGTGAAAGCCACGCCCGGGATCTGGCTGGTAATGTCGCTGGAGAGCTCCTGGTCGATGTTGAAGTCCAAGCGGCCCAGCATGAGCGGACAGACGGAGCCGAAGTCAGCATAGTCACACAAGGAAATGTTCTGGGACACAACCTTCAAGCCGTACACAATCAACTCCACGTTGATGGTGACGTTGGCGTTCATGTTGGAAATGGCCATGACGTTGGCCACGACCGAGTGATTCAGCTCAAAGTAAGTCACATCCAAGTACGAGGCCAGGATCTGGGAGTTGTCCATACACGTCAACAAGGAGGTAGCCTGGAGCTTGGACAGGGCTGCCACGGCAGCAAATAACACGTACACCACCAGTAGAAACAGAAATCTCATGGTGGGCCAGCAGCCTTGTAGTAGAGAGAAGTAGTTGTGGTTGATAAAAATAGGTTCTTTTCTCTGCTATCTGGGGTGGATCATACAGGCGTGCAGGACGGCTGTGTAAGCAACCAGAGAGGCCTCATCTCTGACTCCAGATCCGAAGTGAGGGCAGCTACCATGTGTAAAATACGGAAAGTAAAAAATTCAATTGAATTACTGCTTTCTTTCTTTCTTTGAAAATCATCGAAAATTCCCTTTTGCCGTCTCGTCGCGGATCGGCCTTTACGGGCCACCACGTCTTTTCGCTTTACTACGCCCCAACATGGCCTCTGGTAGCCGCGCTGGGCCAAGCCGCTTGGCGGTCCAAGAACCATGAGACCCGTGAAAAGAAGGCCGTTTTGTTGCTTTCGCCATTTGCAAGGAGACAGCTTTCTTTTTTTTTTTTAAAAAAAATTGTTTCTTTTTTTGCCTTTTTCGTGGTACCTAACTTGAATGGCGGCTTTGAGGCCGTTTTCGGCTCGCTGCAGTTTGCACCCATTTGCAGAGACACGCTTTTTTTGTCCACCAGGAGGACCCCCACTGGACGTGAATATTGGCAAAATACAACCCTCCTTCCGGGCTTGCCTGAAGGATAAACAAGAAAAAAAACATTCTTCAACAAAAAATTACACATGAGATCACACGGCCCGCAGATCCGGGTCAGATCAGCTTTCTTTGTTTTCCACTGAATGCTGGTTCCTTCCTGATCTGGACAGATCGGCCTGCGTTAGCCCACGCTTAAACGACCTACACATTCACCTACACAATGCTTCGTCAAAACATTTTATACAATTTGCCTCCACAATTATTTGACGTCTTGTTGGCCTAGTAAGGAATACCGTTGGTGAGACGCTGGAACTCGTCGTAACCGGTGGTGTAGAAACTCTCGTACGACTTCTTGATCAAGCCCTTGAAGAACAAGGCAGCCTCCTTCTCGCTCTTGCCTGGCGAGAATCTCTTTCTCAACTTCTTGATCGTGGTGTCCTTGAAACATGGCAACCCACTCTCCAACATGGGGTTCACACAACGCACAATCGTCTCCATGTACGGTCTACAGGCAAGATAGCCCTTGATACAGAGCTCCTCAAACCACTTGAACGCCTGCGTCTGGTCGTTACCTCCAAGCACCATCACCATCTCCTTGGTCAACTTGAAAGGCGAAACTTCGAATTTGACTCCTCCAGGCACAATGTCGAAACAGAAACCGAAGTCAATGTGCAACACATGTCCTTCTCCGTCGTACATGATGTTACCGTTGTGTCTGTCCTTGAACTGGAGCAAGTACGAGATGATGGAGTAGGCGGCCAACGATCTGATCAAGTTGTTTCTGGCCTTCTGGAACTCAATCGACGTCTCGGGACCGAACTTCGTGATGTAGTACTGGTACAAGCCGTTCACCGCCTCTCTTCCAAGCATATCTCTACTGGTGGAGTTGGGCAAAACGTCAATGACACCACATCCTGGTGCCGTGGCGGTCACACGGTATGGGAACACATAGAGATCCAAGCCACACGCCAACCAGATCGATCTGAAGACAGAAATCAACTGCAACGCCAAAACATCCTGTCTACAATCGTCACCAACCTTGAAAATGGCACTCTGCCACTTCTCAACAGGCACCTTGATGGTGTGGCCGTATTCGTCGACATCGTCGACTTCCTTCTTGATCTTGAAGGTTGCCATGAAAGGTGCTTTAGCGTGAGACTGCAATGGCTTACCAGACTTTCTGTTGATGTCAACCAAAACACCATCAGGGTTACTGGGCAAGTAGACATCGGGCTGGACCTCGATCTTGGCCATCTCCTCGTCAATCTTGACCTTCTTCTCGGCCTTCGACTTCTTGATGTATGGCTTCAACTTACCAGAAATAGAGGTGACCTCGTTGAAGAAACCAAACTCCTTCTTGTAGAACTCCATGTCCTCCTCGTCCAAGCTGTCCAACATCAATTTCTGACACTCGTCCAACACGGGCTTCAAGGAGTCGGGCTCAGTGGCATCCTCATCCTTGTAACTGTTAGCCAACATGTTCCAGATAATCTGGTGAGCGAACAACTGCGACACTCTAGCGGTTTCCACAATGAATCTCTTCACGTATCCCTTAGCATCATAACGAAGAGATTGCACGATTTGGGGAACGTAGAAGAAAGTCAAGTTCACATCGTGGTGCTCAAGCGACCTCATAGTGTACTGCAAAATGTATGGATTCTTACCAAATGGAGGCAAGAACAAGGTGATAGCGTCAATTGGTGAAAGAGCATCCCAGAACAACAAATGATGTGTTGGCATGCTCGAGCCAGCGTTGATGCCAATGAAGTATTGCACGGCATCTGGACAGGTGAGGGCAGGCAATGGGTTCTTGGTGATCAAACCTTGCAAAATCTCGTCCAAGTTTCTGAGCTTGTATCGGTTGGCCAAGTTCACAGCCAAACGAGGGCTGATGTCGTAAGCCTTGGTAATGTGATCACCGCTCAAGTGGGAAGTAGCAAAAGTTCCTCTGGTGTCGTTAGGCTGAGCAGGGTTCAACCAAACGGAGATCTTTGAGATCTCATCGTCCAAGAAGTACATCAACAAGGTCTTCTTCAGCTCCAAGGTGCTGCTGTGGAAGGTGTTGACGTTACTCAACAACTTGGTGACTTCCTTCAACAAGGCAAAGTCGGCCTTCATCTTCAAGACGTTAGAGCCAAATGGGAAACCAGCTCTGCCCTCGAACCAAGACAAAGAGCCGTCGATGATCAATTCAGTAAGACGCTGGCCGGATCTAGATCTCAACTTCATGTGGTAGTTCAAAACGTCAAAAGCGAATCTGACCAACTCGAACCTGGTGTATCTTGCGAATGGGTGCAAACTTGCTGACTTCAAGTTGAGCAAACCGGTCTTAACAAATCTGGTGAAGAGCTTCAACAAGTGGTCACTCTGGTTCATGGTGGCCTCGAAGTTCGAAGAGAGCAACTTGATGATCTCAGAGTGAGGCTGGAATGTCTTACTAACAGCAGTGGCCTTCTTAGAAGCATACTGGAAGTTACTTGGAGCGTACTCCATCTTGGAGAACTCTGGGTCCTCAAGATCAAACTCAGTGTTGTAGACACCCTGCTTCATGTTGATCGACATTTCCCATCTTTTGGTAATTTCGGATAACACGAGAATGGAAAGCTGAGGTTTCTCCTTCATCACGGCACCCCAAATTCCAAGAGCACCCTTCATGATTCCAGACTCGAAGATTACGAATGGAATCTCGACCAAGTAACGGATAGCCTCGGCCAAGTTGTTGTTCTGGATCAAAGAGAATCCCGCAAGCTCACTCATGAGGTCAAGAACGTCCTTGTTAGGAATGTGTTGGCCCTCATCGCTGATCAAGTGCTTCAAAGATTTCACCTGGATTCTCAATTCACGAAGAGCCTCCTCAGCAGCCTCTGGGGTGTGCAAAGGAACTCTATTCATCAAGTCAGTGACAAAGTTGGATCTCCATGCCAACTGAGAAACAAGACCTGGAAGCAAGGTCAGAGTGGCCTGGTTGGCCAGAGAAAGTTGCACCAATTCACGGTCCGTTGGTCCGATAGAACCAGCAGCCTCCAAGGCAAACGAAACACCGAACAGGATACCCTGTCTGGCATGTTGGCCCTCGGGGTCTGAAACATAAGACTGAATCAAACTCTTGGTGTCGTAAGAACACTTAGCCAAAAGCAAGGTGGTCCAGTGCTTGGCCTTTTCGTGGAGTCTCTTGAAAGTAGACTCTCTCCAAGTGTAGGAGTCTGGCAATTGCAACTGGATTCCAGACTTCTTGGCAGTGTAGGAGAAAGTAGGCTCGTACTGACTGATTTCAGCGTCCATGACACTGTCGTACAAAAGAGTCAACAAGTCGAACAAAGCAAACAAACTTCTGTGGTGGCACAAGGAAGAAGGCACCTTGTTGATAAGCAAGTCACAGCACTTGATGGCAGCATCCTGCAAATCCTCCTGACCGTAACAGCACAAGGTCAACATGTGGGTAAGCTGTTCAGCAATATTGTCAGCAGAAAACTGCTTATCAGCACCGCAATGGATCAACTCCACAAAGTCCTTGTTGATGTGGAACGCAACAGGTCCGATGTACTTATCGATACCACTTGTTCTCATGGAAGGATCTGAGTAGTACTTCAAGATAGTGTGGCAGTTACCAGTCTTGACTCTAAGTGACTCGACAAACAAAGCAGCAGCCAAGAACATCAATCTCGAGTGGGACAAAGTTCTGGAGATTTCGAAAACATCGCCGACAATGTGCTTGTGGTCCTTCACGTTGTGGTTGGAGGATCCACGCTTCAAGACGGTGTTCAATTCCAAAGAAGTCTCAGTTCTGTCCCAAGAGAGCTCGGAAGCCAATGGAGGAGTGTTATAGGCGATCTTCTCCAACTCCGTAGCAAAGGACTTGCCGTGAGCAGAGTTGATGGAGTATCCGTGCACCACCATGTTGAACCAAATGTTTCTAAACAAGTCCACGATTTTGTTGTTGGTGAGCTTAATGGGCTGCTCTTCCTTGTGAACATCAGGCAAAAGCGCAGCCAAAGGCTTCAAATAGATGGAGATCTGGTCACCAATAGCACTGATCTCGTTGTGAGAACGGTGGTGGTCCAAAACCTGAACATCACCCTTGCTGACAATGGCAGTCAAAAGCTCTGACAAATAGACCATGTACAATGGGTTGTCCTGCTTGAGGATTCTGGACAAGTCACAGGCGCTATCTTGCAAAATGTCCGTGAGCTCAGCCTTTTTGTTGTCGTAAGCGTCGAATGTCAACTTGTGGATCAATCTGACCAAGATCACAAACTCCTTCTCAGGCAAGTATGGCGCGGTAGAGACCAAGCCCTTGAGCAACAATGGAGCACTGACGTGGTTCAACTTCAAGGCCTTCTGCGACAAAATGGTGGTAGCCAAGGTACTCACGCTTTCGTCACCACAAGCAGCAACAACCTCCGACACGGCAATGACAGCATGTTCACAGA